TGTTGTTGTTGTTGTTGTTGTTGTTGTTGTTGTTGTTGTTGTTGTTGTTGTTGTTGTTGTTGTTGTTGTTGTTGTTGTTGTTGTTGTTGTTGTTGCTGTTGTTGCTGTTGTTGTTTCTGTCGCAGCTGGCCCCTCGCGTCACCATATTCCTTCTCTTCTTCGTGGTCTTCATCGTCACTGCTGCTGCTGCCGCTGCTGCCGCTGCCGTTGACTTGAACGACAGGTGGGTAGGGCGTGTCGTGCGCCGAGGGAGGGAGGCATTTGCGCGAGGTGCCGTTGTGGAGGAGGAACGAGCGCATCTGCCGGTAGACTTTGCATTGCTGGGCGTGGGTGCTCGTGAAGATGCTGAGGTCCTTTTCGAGGTCGAGGGCAACGATGATGCCTTCGGTGGGCTCCTTGTCGTCGTCGTCGTCGTCGTCGTCGTCTGCCTCCCACGGTAGAGGGGTCTCAGCGCGAGAGAGGCCGTAGTCGAGGATGGTAATGTCGAGACCTGAGTAGCCAAAGGCTGGACCCGGGATGGAAGCGTCTCGCCTGCGCGGTTGGGAGACTCGCCTGATGCAGAGATTCCCTTCGTGCAAGTCCCGGTGCTGGTTTCCCGTGGCACGTAAGCAAGAGAAAAGAAAAAAAAAAAAGAAAAAAAAAAAAAAGGCAAAACTTTCCAAAACGGGGGTCGAACCACCCACCTCAAAAGCAACAAGCTCTTCCGCCCTAGCCAGGGCGATGGCCACGAGGAGGAAAATGTCCCACAGCTGCGCGGCGTCCTCCAACGCAAAGTCCTCCAGGGCCACACCGGCATCGCCCAGCTCCACGACCAGGAACCGGGTGCCGTCGAGGTAGCGGCTCGGGCTGGGGTAGAACTGCAGCCGGTCCGGGTCCTGGCGCTTGACGCGGCGGTGGAAAGCCTGGTGCGTCTCGACGAGGGATTTCGGGGCGCGGCCCTCGACCATGTAGCGCTCCTTGTAGACCACGAAGCCCGGGACGTCGGCGAGCCACTCGGAGATGCGCAGCTCGCCCTCGAGGTCGTCGGACGGGTGGGGCTCCTCGTCGACGAGGCCGGACCGGACCTGGGGCTTGGTCTGCGGCTTGATCGGGGATGGGAGGCGGATTACTTTGATGATGCTCGTGCCGCGCTCGTTGTTGACGCGGTAGACCTCTGCGTAGGAGGCTTCGGCGATCTTGATGATGGTGTCGCCTGGCGGGCAGACGTCGTGCCAGGTGAGGACGCGGAGAGGGGTCTCCGGAGGTTTAGATTCATCAGCTGTCGAGGTTTGGTGCTTCTCGTCTACTGGCCTTTTCGAAGACGCTAGTTGTGGACTAGCAGGCGCGTTGTCTCTTTGTTTCTGGCTGGCGGTAGCTGGCGGGCTCGGGGATGGCGTCGGCGGGGCCTGAGGCGATACCGCCTGTATTGGGGGTTCCTTTCCGCCTGGCGAATCATCGCTGATAGTTACGGCCTTCAGACGGTCGGTGACTTTATTTAGGGTCGATCCCTCGCCGTCATCGTCGCCATTGTCGCCATTGCCGCCTGAACCATCAGTTGCTGGAGGTGGTCGTACAGGGCTCTGCGGAAGCTCAGCCAACTGTCGCCTCGGCTTGGTTCGAGCAGATTTGCCATAAGTGCGGAGGGATGTTGTCCGCGTCATGTTGGGCGTGTAACAGACACATGACGATGCGAACTCTCTCTGAATCCTAGTTGAGTTTCCATACTCGTGATATCCTCGTTTGAGTTGAGACTGGGAAGGTTGACGTCGCGTTTCCTAAATGGTGGTTGTCAGGGGCAACGAAAAGCCATGACCCGCTTAATGCATTTAGGGGGTAGTTAGTGGGTGGGTGGGGGTTCGAGCTTGGACCATCGAGCTGGCCATCGTTTCACGTGACCCCATGGTTTCTAAGCACGCCACGACAAAGGAGACGAGAGACGAGAAGCTTATTATTATATTATTATTACGTGCATTGTCCAACCACTGCGCCCGCCTGATTCAGTGTGTCTCGCTGTTCCATCTGCTAAGGCTGAGACGTTCAGCAAACCATTCGGCAACGTCTTTGACGGTACAGCACCACCCATGGCCAACGTTTTGAATGGCCTCTTTGGAGGCGGCAAGTCGTCCGAGACGCCTTTGCCCAGCGCGGACTCTGGTACGTGATTCCATTGCATTGCATTGCATTGCATTGCAACCCCTTGACCCCTTTGCCCCCGAGTTCTTGTGCCACAGTCTACCAAGGATGATAGAGTGAGAGTCCTCGGATGTCGTCACATGTCATCCTTGGATTCGTGTCGTTTTCTTGTTCTTATCTACTTTGTCCATCAACTTCGGAACTAATCTCTCTCTCTCTCTCTGTGCAGACTTTGCAGACTTCGCGGGTGCTCCTGACCCAGTCCCAACCGACACGCCTACACCGCTGGGATCCGGCGCCGCCCCGGCGGCCGCTACACCGGCGATCGCCAGCCAGTGGTACGAGGTGCACAAGCGGCACACGATCGACGAGTTCAAGTTCGAAGGCCTCATCCTCGGCATCGGCCTCGTCCTCTTCATGATCCACCTGGTCGGCGCCCGTCTCAACCGGAACCGCGCCAAGGCCTGGGCCAAGGCGAACGCACCGGTGCTGAAGCGCGAGTTCGCGTCGGTGGGCTTCTCGGGCCTGCCCACCATGGACGCGGCGGCAGCGGCCGGGGACGACGATGTCACCACGGGCGTGCTGAAGGAGAAGTCGCTCTTCCAGTTCGCGTCGTACGCCAGCGGGCGCCAGAACGTCGCGTTTGTCGACGTCGACCTCACGCTCGTCCGGCGCTTCAACCCCATGCTGCCCCTCGCCGAGACGGTGCTGAGCTTCTTCTGGGAGTCCATGGCGGCGCCGCGCGACGTGGTGGAGGCCGTGCTGTACCCGTTCGACGGCAAGGAGTCGCTCGCCGTGCCCGCCGTCCCGGGCACGCACGAGCTGCGCAGCAAGGAGGGCAAGAGCGCGTTTGACGGGTTCGTCTGGGCCATTGTGTCCAAGGAGCGCATGAAGGAGCTCCGTGAGGAGCGCTACGACCTCTCCATCACCTTCACCAAGGACAACAGCAAGCTCCCCAACTGGGTTTCCGTCATGAGCGAGAGCGCTGAGATTACCGAGCAGCTCCTGACGCCGGAGCTCATCAAGGCTGTTGAGGCGGCCGGCGATGCTTTTGAGTACCTCGTCATTTCTGACCAGCCTGTGGAGAAGCCCAAGACGTGAGTGGCAACTTTTCCCTTTTGATGTCCTACCTTTACCTTTCTTTTTTCTTTTTTTTTTCCCCCTTCTTTTCTTTCTTCGATAACGTATATTGACATCTCCATCCCCCCAGCGTCGAAGAGGCCACGACGGCCCGCAAGCGCATCTTCCTCCGGTACAACCTCCCGTCGAACAACGACTACTCGTCCCTGATGCCCCTCTTCGAAGAGTACATCCGCCTCACCGATACGCTGGTGGCGCACGGCAAGTTCCGAGGCGAGGTGATGCGCAAGGTCAACAAGGTGCGGGACGAGACGATCTCGCAGCTCCGCAAGGAGGCCGAGGCCAAGGAAGCCGAGGAGCGGACGCAGGAGCGCGAGAAGGCCAAGAAGGCCAAGCGCGACCAGGAGCTCGCGGCGCTCGACGCGAAGCAGCAGAAGAAGTACCTCGAGAAGGAGCGGGAGAAGGAGCAGCGGAGGATGGCCAAGAAGCAGACCGTAAGGGCCTAGAAAAAAGGTGACTTGGGGGAAAAAGAAGAAGAAGAAAAAAGGGGGTGGGTTGCGGTTGCGGTTGCAGTCTCCTTTTTCATCTTACCTTTCGACCGTCTTGTCTTATTTCCCACCTTTTTTGTTGGTCTATATTTCCAGGCGAGCGTTGGCGGTCGGATCTCTGTGTGGATAGGCAAACATGTGTTGTTCTGTAATTGTAAGGGAGTCTCGGGAGAGGGTATGGGTGTGGAAAATGAAGCCAGGTGTCGGAGGGGGATCATAGGGCGAACTGAACTTGGATTAATCATACATCCATTAAAAGATGTGAGACCTTGACCGACAAGTGGGTGAGGAATATCAGTAGATTTTCCTAGAGGACACATGAACTACTGCCAAGTCAAAAAACTCGACTCCCAGAATCACACAATACGATTCTCCTCCCCTCATCAGCGCAGCTGCGCAGCTGACTGCTGTCACTTCGACTCCTTCGAGTCCTTAGCGAGCAAGTTTTCCACTCTATCAATCTTCTCCTTCCAGTGCTGGACTTTGTCCGTCCTGTTGGCATGGGGGGGGGGGGGGGACGAAAAGGGGGTCCCGTTGTTGGTTAGCTCTGCCGTTCAGGAGAGCGAGGGGCCAGAAGAAAGGGTAAGACGTACCTTGCTCCGACGCGCATGGAGGTCTGGATCCTCACGATGCCGCGCTGCAGGAGAGCTTCGTGGGCTTGGCCGATAGCACGCATGACATCGTCCCAGGGTCCCTCTGATGGTTCCCATTAGCTCAGGCCTAGGACAAGGAGGGCAGGGAAGACGCACCGACGGTGGTGCCGGCCGAGTGCAGCGTGTAGCTCAGCTTGCTGGCGTTGAGTACGCGCTGGACCTCTGCGACCTCTTCTGCGACGGAAGGGTTGCCTGTGCCGAGCTAGAATGGTGCAGGTCGCAAGTCAGTGAAGGAAGTTGTTGGATTTTCAAGAGGAAGAGAAAGAGTCAACGCACAGGCACGAGACAAAAGTCGACATAGACAAAGGACGGCGTCGGGAGGTTGGTGTAGTCGGTCGCCATGGTGTTATTGCGCCTTGGTTGGGTATAGATGGGCAGGTTTCGCTAAGGGTGAGCGGCTTGATGGAGTGGAGTGGTGGAGTGGTCTCGGGGTGATATATAGCCTGGGATTCAAGCACATGTTTTGTGGTTTGGGGACGCAGATGGGAGGAGTTTAAGGTTGGACGTTATGGTTTGTTAGTGAGTGGTTTAGTGGTGGTTTAGGTGGTGGTTCATTGATGATGGCGGGGAATAGCGGGGAATCGCGGGGAATTTAGGGGATTTAGTGGTCGGATGAAGATGAATGACGGTGATATCAGGGGGAATGGCTTATGAGGGGAAATGGACTGATGTGAGACGAGAATACAAAAAATAATAATCATTATTATTAAACCAGATTAATAATTAAAAAAAAGACCGGTTTCTCTCTAATACAGCGGCTGAGGGTTACTTGTTTTTCCGGTCTGTAGTAATTATTAGCCCATCTTATCCTGTTCCGTTGCTTGGCATTATCATAGGGAGCATCAAAGGCCAGGCCCCTGCTCTGGATTCGGCGAGGACGCATTCAAGTCGTGATTTTTATTTTTATAACTTACAGCTTATACACTACCATCCCACCCAGTAGCTGTAGTGCGCATAATGAGGCTCATGTGTTCCATATTGATATATCTATCCACCTCCTAGAGTCCCAACCTAGCGCTATCCCTGACCAGGTTCCTCCACTTGCACCTGTCCGTCTTCTGATCCAGTATCCTACTCAGGATCCGGCGCGAATCCCGACTCGGTGCTCGCCTCTGCTGCCTCCCTCTCTTTCAAGGCCTTTTGTCCTTCCTCCGTGGTCGCGTCAATGATTTGTTCTTCCAAACTCAAGATGCCGGCCTACGTTGGTCGTGCTTGTTAGTCGAGTGCATTTCCATTTTTTCTTTCTTTTTCTTTTCTTTTCTTTCTTCCCCGGGGACACAGGACAAAAGGGAAACAGAAACGGAAAACGTACCTCGCCCAGCTTGCCCACAACATCTTCCGCCTCCTCCACCTTCATCTCCCCCAACACCTGATTCACCTCGTCCAAGCTCCCACTCTCCAACGCCTTCCGGAACGCGGCGCTGAAACTCTCAAAGATCATCCTCGCCTCCTTGCCCTCCACCGTCTCGGCATCGGCGGCCGGGATGTGAATCTTAATCTCCGTCCCGGGCTCGACGGCATGCAGCTGGATCTGCGCCACCTCAGCCGGCTCCTTGGCCCTCTCCGCCACGATCTCCCTCGCCCGCGTGCGGATCCGGCCGTACGTGTCCCGCACATCCTTCAAGAACACCTCGCGCGCCTGGTGGCCCTTGGTCGTGATGCGCTTGAAGAACAGGGCCACGCCGTCCCGCCCCAGCGCGCGGCAGTACTGCAGCAGCAGCGCCTGGTGCACGCACTGCCGGCTGCGCTCGTCCCTGCCCTCCAGCGCCGCGTCGAACGCCAGCACCAGGAGCCCGTCCGTCTCCCGCTCCGTCAGGATCTCCGGGTTCTTCGACAGGAACGACAAACTGCCGCTATAGTCGTCCATCTTGATCTGCGAGAACAGCTTGGCCACCGGCGACGCCTCGATCTCCTCGTCGTCGCCGTACGAGGGGGGCTGTTGTGCTGGCGCCCCTGTTGCTGCTGATGCTGCTGCCGGCGTAAAGCTGGGGTTGAGCAGCTCCACCTGCGTCTCCGGGCCTTTCCCTTTCCCCTTCCCCTCCCCCTTCCCCTCCTTCTCCTCGTCCGTCGTCTTGGACTTGTTAACATGCGAACTGTCAAACCCGGTCCGGATGCTCTCGCTCGTAATCTTGCTCCTCTCCGCCTTCTCCAGCTCCCCCAACTTCTCCACCAGCTCCCCCTGCAGCTTGTTCACCTTGTTCAGGTGTTCCTCGATGCCCTGGACCATGGCATGGTACCGCCCCTCGGCCTCCAGCTTCTTCTCGTCCAGGGACCTGTTCACGTCGTCCAGGAGCGCCGCCATCATCTTCGAGTACGACGGCAACGGCGCCTCGTCGCCGTGCACCCCGGCCGGGCGCGGCGGCGGCTGGTCCTCACCGGGCCTGCCGGCCGATTCCATCACCGCCTGGAAGGCCACCTCGCCCGGGTTCGCGCGGTGATTCTTCTGCATGTCGGCGGCGCGGGCCTTCAGCGCGGCCAGCAGCGCCGAGATGCGCCTCACAAGCCCGTCGTTGATGAGCCGTTCGTATTTCAGCGTCTCGATCTGGTGTTTCCGCTGTTGCCGCTCCTGGTGGATCTGGTTCTGCTTCGCGCGGATGAAGGACCGCTTGTCGACGTTGGGATGGACCTCGATGTCCGAGTCGTCGCTGAGTTCCAGAGCGTCCTGTCGACTTGTCAACACTATACTTTGCTTCTTGCTTCACTTCAGAATGCCACTTACCCACTTGCTGTAGTCTACCGGCATTGTTGCTGATTACCTTAGGTAGGAAGGAGACCTGCTTGAAAAAACAATAATGTCGGTGATGGGAAAAGCTCCAACGACCCGACTGCTTCGGAAGGTAGAGGGGAATGAGTGAGGTAGGTAAGGTAGTTACTATTAGCCCAGTTGATGACGTCCCGAAAAAGGAGAAGAATAAACCTACGAATGAGGTAAGCAAGGTAAAGAGCAGGTACAGAGTAGAGGTATGGAGTAGGGAATGACTTCGTGGTTGAGTAGCAGCGACTGTCGGCAATAAGGTAGGTAGGCAGTGACGACCTGGAACTGAAGCTTCATTAGCGGGGTCGCCCCGCTGTAAGTACGTAAAAGTACCTAGTACTATAGTGGAGATCTCTTATCTTATCCAGAACACACGATTATTAAGCAAGGTAGGTCTCTAGTCTCTACCTAAGGTCCATATGGACACAACACTCACGGACGACTCCCGAGTCTTTCAATCTTAAAGGCATCGCCATCTTCTTCTTGATTATAAACTACCTTAGTCAACGCACTAAGCAAGCGCCAAACAAACGCAGAGCAAAGCGAATAAGCCACTAGGCCCTTCTTGTCCAAGTGATAAGCAAATACTGCCTTTCCATCCCGTCTATCTCCCTTTTTCCCTTCCCAAGCACCTGAGCTAATATGTGTTGCAGTGCAAAAGTAATAATACACGTACAAGTAATGTAGAAAAGCAATTGATACACTCCGGCCAATTTTGATAGCACGCGGGAGGGGGTGAAAAAAAAGGAGAAAAAAAAAGAAAAAACCACACAAGCTTGGCCGGCCCGCCCGTAGTACGCATCCTCCTCCTCCTCCACTACTGCATCGTCTTCAAGAACCCCTCCAGGTCGAAACTCTCCTCGTACTGCCGGTTGTCCCACAGCTCGCCCAAGTCGTCCATCCACGCCTTCTTGCCCGTCTGCGTCCCCGTGATGACGTCGCCCGTCTCGACATCCACCATGTCCTCCTCCCGCCCCTCCATCGTGTTCTGCGCCGCCTTGTCCGTGATGAGCCCCGGCCCCGTGTCGCCCAGGTTGAACAGGTCGAGGATCTGGTCCGTGTCCATCGTCGCCAGCCCCGCGTTCTGTTGGTTGACCACCGTCGACGCCACGTCGATCTTGAACCGCTGCAGGCTGAGGATCTTCTCCTCCAGCGTCCCCCGCGTGATGAGCCGGTACACGTTGACCACCTTCTTCTGCCCGATCCGGTGCGCCCGGTCCATCGCCTGCAGGTCCTTCTGCGGGTTCCAGTCGTGCTCCACGAAGATCACCGTGTCCGCCCCCGTCAGGTTCAGCCCCAGCCCGCCCACGCTCGTCGTCAGGAGCAGCACGTCGTACGACGGGTCGTGGTTGAACTTGTTCACGATGCTCTGCCGCTTGTTGGCCTCCACCGACCCGTCCAGCCGCAAGAACGACACGCTCGGCAGCAGGTCCTTGAGCACCTTGTTCTGCACCATGTCGAGCATCTCCTTCATCTGGCAGAAGATCAGAGCCCGGTGCGGCTTGATCGGCTGGTACAGCGGGTCGTTCGACTCGCCCCCCTCGACGCCGATGCCGCAGTCCACCAGCAGGTCCCGCAGCGCCGTGAGCTTGGGCGCGTGCGCCACGTCTTCCAGGCTGGTGCCCTTCTTGTGGAGCAGCCGCTGCGTCTCCTCGTACAGCCCGTGCCCCGGCTTCATCACCAGCGCCGGCGAGTTGCACAGCTTGCGCATGTACTGCAGCGCCTGGAAGATGTGCGCCTTGGCCTCCTTGTCCTCCTTTCCGGCCTCCTCCTGCAGCTTCCTGCCTTGCTTCCGGGTGAAATCCTCGAACAGCTTCTGCTGCAGTTCGCTCAAGTCGCAGTAGTAGTTCTGCAAGATCTTCGGCGGCAGGTCGTTCAGCACTTCCTCCTTGAGTCGCCGCAGCAGGAACGGCAACACTTGCTTGTGGAGCGCCTCGATCGCGAGCGCGCCGGCCTCCTGCTCCTTGGACGACGCCTTGCTGAACCGGCTGGCCGCGATCGGCTTGGCGAAGCGGTCGAGGAACACCTTCTCCGCCCCCAAAAAGCCCGGCATGAGGAAGTCGAAGAGCGACCAGAGCTCCAACACGTTGTTCTGGATCGGCGTGCCTGTCAGGATCAACCTGTGGTTGCTCGGGAGCCGCTTGACCGCGAGGCTAATCTTGGCCTTCGGGTTCTTGATGAGGTGGCCCTCGTCCAGCACGACGTAGTTCCAATTGTACCGCACGAGAACGTCCACGTCGTTCCGGCACACGTCGTAGCTGGTGACCACGATATCCGTCTTGTCTAACGATTCCTTCATCGCCTTCCGTTCGGCCGGCGGCCCGACATAAGCCGTGACGCTCAGGAAGGGCGCATACGTCTGGATCTCCTGCTGCCAGTGCCCCGACAGCGTGGGCGGACAGACGATGAGGGAAGGGAGCCGCCTGACGTCCGACGCCCCCGTCTTGGCGAATTCCTCGGCGCGCTGGTGGTGGTCGCTGGCCACGATGCAAATCGTCTGCAGGGTCTTGCCCAGGCCCATGTCGTCGCAGAGAATCCCGTGGAGATGATATTTGTTGAGGAAATGCAGCCAGTTGACGCCTTCCTGCTGGTACGACCGCAGCTCGGCCTTGATGGCCACGGGGATTTTGAAAGGCTCGACTTTCTTGGGGTCCAAAAGCTGCGAAATGAACGTCCGCTCCCGATCCCGTCCCCGCAGGAGCTCTTCCGACAGGCCCGGTGGATCGGGTATGCCGGCCTCGAGCGGAACCAGCTTGACCAGGGTGGCGAAGGATGTGGTGGCAATCAGGCGGATGTCGTTGTCCGAGTCGCTCATGCGACCCAACACGGGGACGATGAGGAAGATGACGTAGGGGAGTATGGCGTCCCCCATGACCGCGATCAAGTGGTAGATCGCCTCGATGGCGCCCTGGCGGAAGCTCAGGTCGACCGGGTTGCTGATCGACGGCAGAACCCTCTCCACCAGGGCCGTCATGCCGTCGACCGTGATGACGCTGCAGATCGTGGCCATGCACTTGGCCGCCATGTAACGGAACACGGCGAGCTCCGAGTGCAGCGCCTTGATGACGAGCGGAACCATCTGCATGATGAAGGGATGGACGGCAGGATCCAGCGTCGGCGTCAGGGTCCGAATCAGCGACATGGCATCGACGATCTCTTGACCAAACGTGTCCTCGGCGTTCTTTGCTCGGTCGGGAAGAGGCCCAGAGAACGCCTTGACGAGGGGTTCTTCCATGAACGTCCGTAGAACCGGTACCGTGTTGAGCAACTCGGCGCCGTATATCCGGGACAGGAGCTCGAGCGCCTCTTTCGAACCCCGCCTCGTGATACGGGCTGCCTTGGCTTCCTTGGCCCATTTGACTGCGTCCGCGTGGTCGACCCTGTCCTCTTCCTTCTGCATGGACAGTATGCAGTCCGTCTTGGACGCGTGCACGGGGAATTCTGGCGTCTCGGCAACTTCCACGCAGGAGAACTTGATGAGGTTGGACACGACCTTCTCGGCCGGTCCCTTCCGGCCAAGCTCGGTGAACAGCTGAACGAGCCGAGCAATGTTGGCCGCCGAGCGGCTCTGGGTTTCTTGGTTTTCCTCCGTCTTGATGCTGTCCATGATGGCTTTGATGAGGGGGCTCGGCTTCTTGGGAAGCGCCTTGACGGCCACGAGGGCGCAGGCGGCACCCGCCTTAATGCGTACATCTCGGGCCTCCTTGGCGGCCTTGGCGTCCGAGATGGCAGCGGCCGCCACATCTCGGGCTTCGGTCAGCATCTGGCTGGCTATCAGTCTCTGGCCGGGCGACATGGCCTTCTTAAACTTGTCGAAATCCTCGTGCACGATCTTGTCGGCGACGGCCATGGAGAACGCCCCCGGCCCGGCCTCCGGCTCGCCTTGGACAACGACGGCCAGCGTCGGAAGGTGCCTGCTGGATAGTTTGCCGTGGTCTCGGAACATGTTGACGAGCTGCGTGCACTGAGACCGGACACGATGCATATAGCTGACGAGATCTCTGTAGTGGCCGGGTCTTTCCTCGTCGATGATCTGCTGAAGAGGCTTCGTGAAGCGCGAGGACACCACCCCAGAGCCGGAGCAGTTCCTGGCATATTCCTCGATGATCACGCATGCGGTCAGCTGGGTCGACGAGTAGGGCGACGAAAGCGCCGGGATGATATGCCGCTCGTAGTCGGCGAGGCGGTCTGCGGGGACACGGGACATGAGCAGGCCGACGGCCTTGGCGGCCGACGACCTGGACCGAATCAAGGTATCCATGCCGACAAGGTCCACGTCTCCTTGCATCATGTGACCGTCCACGTCGTGGCCGGGGGCGGCAACAGGCGTGTCGTCGACTTTGGTAGACTTCCTCCGCCGCTTGGGCGCGCGTTCGCCTCCCTCTGGCGACGACGCCTTTCGCGGAGGCGGTGCAGGCATGGCCGAAGCCGAGTAAGTCCCGCCGGACGGTTTCTGGAAGAGGGCGACGTTCATCGGGATCGGATTCCGGGAGACGCCGATAGGGTGGAGGGCAAGCTGCATCATGGGCTCGACACTGGCTGCGTCGGCGAGCTGGCTTGCGTCCCGGGCAAGGCTGGTCACCAGCGAGGACCAGACGTCGAGGGACATGGCGAGCGTCTCCTGGTCCCTCTCGACGAGAATGTTCTGGAACATGAGCCTTGGCAGCTTCTCACCCATCCATCCGCTGGACCGTTGCTTTTCCAGGCCAATAAAAGTCGACAGCGCCTTGAGGACGGCCAGCCGGACGGAGGTGATGGTGTGGCGTAGGAACGGATACAGCCTGGGCACGAGGACGTCGAAGGTTCGCTCTTCGTCGGCGTCGGCGGATACTTGCATGGCCTGAAGCACCTCCGGGAAGCCGCAGAGGGTTGCGAGAAGGTCCATGATCCTGCCGGTACTGGCGCTCAGGTCGTCGCCCAGATCCTGGAGGCTGGACCAGACGATGTCGATCAGGCTGTCGATGGCCGCGGGACGCATGGTGACGAACTCCCGGGCCATGGGGAGCAGCGTGGCGGCACTGACGGACCGCACGTCGTCGTCTTGGTCCCGCAGGCCTTTCATGACGGCGCGAATGACGCCGTCAATCATTTCACCGTCTTCCAGGAGCAGGTCTTTCCTCACGGCGACGACGTATCTCAGGCCGACCATGCCGCCGTGGCATACGGCCCAGACCCTCCCGACGTCGAGGTCTTCTTGCATGACCATGCGGTAGAGGACCTTGTAGATGCTGTGCACGGACTCCGGGGGCACATGACGAAGGACGGCACCCAGGGTCTGGCCGATGGTCTCCCGAATGGGGGCGACGGAGGTGTCAGAGCTGTAATCGGTAAACCGATCGAGCATCAGCACGAAGCACAGGCGGCAGGCGAGGTCGTCAAGCCAGGCCTTGTTGAGCCGGTCGTTCTCTTGGCGGGACTTGGAGCGCAACCGGCCAGCGCCGGCACCGTGGACTCGGATGACCTCGCGGAGGCCCATGGCAGCACCGTGTCGTGTCTCCCACACCGGGTCGAATACGTCGATTTTGAGGAAGTCGCAGAGCCGGTCGTAGGGCCATTCCGATCCTTCCATGGAGTGGCTGACCTCAATTTCCGACTTGATCGGCTCCAGGGGTCCTTTGAACTCGCTCACAACCTTGGTCTCCTCGTCTACATCGGCCGGGCGGTCCAGGCTGAAGTAGTCGTTCATCTTGCCGTTCTTCTTGGCATCCGGATCTGCTAGCGGGGTATGGGTATCGTCGGGGAAGCCTTCGGAGCCTGCGGTATTTGTTCTTCTAATGGACAAATCACCAAACCCGCCCTTGGCGGCCTTTTGGGCCTCGCGCTTCCGTTTCCTCTTGAGCACGTTGAGCTGTCTGGAGCTCAAACCGGACTCTTCCGCAGGCTGACTCTGCCCGACGGTCGACATAGAGTCCGTACGTGCTAGGGTATTGGTGGCAGAGGCGTCGAGAGGCGTCATGGGGATCGAGTCCTTGTCGAGAACGACAGGCATCTCGTCCGGTTCGAATTTCCTGCCCAACAGGCCCAGTCGGCCGTTCAGAGTCTTCTTCTGGTGTGCTAGGCGGGACTGGGGGTCCAGGGCGGCCAGGTTGTACTCCACCGTGCCGCCGCGAACAAGTTCACGGCCGTAGTTCAACACATTCTCCAGATGGAGCGAATCAAGCCTGAAGAGTTCATCGTCAGGAAAGGGGAGGAGGTCCTGGTCTTCTTCTTTCTTGACGTGGCCAATCTCCGGCTTGATGGATGGTGGAGGGGCAGGAAGCGAGTCCTCGTCTTCGTTAGGGTCATATAAGGGAGCATTCTCGATGATCTTGCCGATGGCCTTGGCTGCCGTCGACCTTGTTTCCCAGTCTTTGTGGCGAAGATATGGCACTACCCTGGATAATAGGTTGAAGAGCTCGTCCGGGTGCTGCTTCTGCCAATCAGCAAGCTGGTTGACGGCGGTATCCCGAATCAGACGGGTGCTGCCCGTCTCGAGAATACTGTTCGTAAAGGGGGAGGGCGGGGGGGAGGAAAGAAAAAGTCAGCGGTGGGCTCGAGGATCGGATCACGTGTACGGAGTAGAGAGACTTGGTGAGAAAAGGGACCACAGAAAGGGACCACGGGCTCAAAGAGAGGTTACTCACGTGACAATTCTGTCTAATCTGTTTCGATTGTGTTAGTACTTGGTATTTGGTGTCGTTCCGGACGAGGAGGGCTTACCTTGACGCCATGTTGCTATTAAGGGCTGCTTCGGAGAAGCCTCATCTCAACACCCGTCTACTGAGAGTCAGTACGACGTCGAAAATCGAAAGACGCGCGAAAGCGACGCGTCTTTGTAATGGAAGAATGGACGAATGGATTTCGATACTGAGAGAGACAAGACAGGCTGGGAGGCTGTTATGTATGGGGTTGATCTGTATGTGTATATGAAGAAAATAGGGGGAAAAGGGGAACTGGAGTGTAGGCACGCACACCTCAGGCCTTTTTTGACTCTTTCTGGAGAAGAAATAAAGATGGAGAGAGTCAAGATGAGAGCAAAGGGGGAAAGATGCCAGAGAAGAGAGAAATCAAGCAACTATCATGCACACAATGGCATCATGAAGCTCTGGGTTGTCAATGAGTATGAAGTATATCGGGTTGTTGCCAAGGAGTAGGTGATGAACGGCCCAGGAGATGGTCGCCAAGCCAGATCGATGTTGGGGTTGTCTTTTCCGTTCGTCTCTGTTCGTCGCTGACAGAGTTGGGGGTTCTTTGTACTGTAAATAGAAATAAACAGAAGAAGAGGGCACAATGTTCTTCTGTGGTTGTTGTTGCGGGTTTGCCGAGTAATTAATTATGTTGTTGTTGTTTAATAGAATAGATTTAATAGAGTTGGTTGAGGCTGAGAGGTGTAATGTTAATGTAGTGAGGCAGTTGGCGTGGTGGTGTCGACAGGTGTAATTGGTTGTGTTATGTGATCTCGCACCCGGGATGGATTTGATTGGGAAGCCGCGGCGCGCAAAAGATGAGCGGGCAGGAGCGGCAGGTGGATGGAAGTGGGTGGAGGGGTAGTAAAGTATGGAAGTAAGGCATTGGTATCTTGTGGTAGTACTTTTATACTTTGTGGGCCGTGCCCGCGCCCGCAGCAACGCGCACTGGTCAGGGGAGTGGAGGGCAGGGGTGACTCGTGGGACTCAAATTCGAGCCAAAAGCCAAAAAGACAAAAAGACAAAATACACCAACCCGCCCCATTCCTCCAAGCGGCCTGGCAGACGCGCCTTTGCTCTCGCTTAATCTCCTTAGCGTCATATCCACCCCACTTTTCTTTCTATTTGGCTCCGTCATCTACTACTCTCGAAGTACGTATCCATTCCAGCAGAGTCCCATTTCTTTTTTTCTTCTTTTTTTTCTTCCTTTTTTTCCCCCTTTGACACTCCGTATACCTTCTATCACTCTCTCCCCCTTACACTTGGCCCTTCCCGGGTTTCCAGTTCATTTGTGGTAACCTCGTCCTTGCCTTACTTTGAGGGACTTCTTCTTACCTATTTTGTACGCTGTGATTACTCCGTACCTCACCCATAGTCGCGTTTCCTGCGTGTCATACGTGTCGTGGCGGCTCGAACGTGGCATTTCCTATTTTGCCTACAAGGCTACATCGGAAATTCCGCGGCGTTGTCAGCCATTGCTTTTTAACGTGTGGTCGTCCGTCTTTGCATCTATTCGTCATATGGTCGGAACGATTATGGTTTGCGGTCTACTACGATACTACGATACTACGATAAAGTTGGCAGCATAACGTACCTGCTATACGGGTACGGATAATAGCTACGTGCCTACTTTGTACCTGCTTCGGGGACAACTCATGGACATTGTGAGTCGATCGACAGGATCATTTTACCTAGGCCAGCACCCTTACTTCTGGGGGGAATAAAGAAGAAAAGAAGGGAAAAAAAGAAAAAAATCCTAGGCCGCACTCAATGCTTCTTCCAAAGCTCTTCCAGAAACCCAAGTATGATCACGAATACCTGCTTGTTAGCTATATCTGACCGGCTGATCTGCTTGCCTACTTCTTACTATCGCGCTCACACACGTACTCCGGTGGGATGGCAAGGGCAATGTTGGGTTAGAACTTACCGTAGTCGTCATCCACTGCCGAGCCACCAAGCTTGACCCGGTGGAGCTGTTGGGTTGGCTGGTTGGGCCGGTTGGCCGGTTGGCCGCCACCGTCTATGGTACAGCATCTTGTAGTTATTATTCCGTACCTTATATCGGAAGCATTCAAGCCTCAGGCTGTTAGCCAAAAGAACTCTACGAAGTAATTATCTGTCCGTACTCCTTACATTGTCATGAGACAGTTCCGGTTGGCATTTGTTTGCTAATTGTCCGGATCGTCATGTCGGGCACGGATTATCCACCCATTTCCGAAGTTACTGTGAACGACTCTGTACGAAGTTCGAAGTTTTGCCAAGTAATAAAACAACAAAACACACACTCTCTCTCTCGCACAACGATGGATGACTGATGAACGGCAGACAGCTTCATGTTAGGTTGCCAATTTAAAGCTAGAGGTACTTTGTAAATAATAAAATAATAATATTCGCTTCGAAATGTTCATCAAAAACAACCTTGATGCCCTTGATTAGGTAATGACGGACGGATGTTGGTCAAACGAGGCCCAAATGCGCATGTGCTCCGTATGGAACACTAAAGAACACTGTGTACATACCTTGTCCTCCTATTCTCACGCGCCCCACCATCGCCATCGCGACCACAGACGCGTCGCAGGCAAAAGAGCCACCATCAACCACATCACATCGCCTCGCCCAAAGCGCACATCATCGTCGGTCAAGAACCCGCACCTCGTACTCCGTCCCACACCCCCCGAAGCGAAATAGCGAAATAGCGAAATTTCGAAATACATGGTTCATCACGCAAGATACACACGCCTGCCTCTTCTAACCGATCGCCAGTGAGGGACAGTCTATCCACCCGTATCGGCCGCGTCGACGGCAGCGCCGGCCAGCTTCACCACCACCATGTACATCAAGCAGATTATCATCCAGGGCTTCAAGAGGTGCGCCGCCCCCCCCCCCCCCCCCCCTTTTTTTCTTCTTTTTTTATTATTACCTTCTTCCCATACAGCGTTAGCTAACTTGACAACTTTCACCCTCAGCTACAAGGAGCAGACAGTCATCGAGCCCTTCTCCCCGGGAACAAACGTGATCGTCGGTCGCAATGGCTCCGGCAAGAGCAACTTCTTCGCGGCCATTCGCTTTGTCCTCAGTGATGCCTACACGCAAATGAGTCGCGAGGAGCGCCAAGCCCTACTGCACGAGGGCTCCGGCTCGGCCGTCATGTCCGCCTACGTCGAGATCATCTTCGACAACTCGGACGACCGGTTCCCCACCGGAGGCAAGGAGGTCATCTTACGGCGCACCATCGGTCTCAAGAAGGACGAATATTCCCTCGATCGCAAAGTCGTCACCAAGACCGACGTCGTGAACATGCTCGAGGCCGCCGGCTTTTCGAGGTCAAATCCCTACTACATCGTGCCCCAGGGCCGCGTCACCGCCCTGACCAACATGAAGGAGTCCGACCGTCTGAATCTCCTCAAGGAGGTGGCCGGCACCCAGGTGTACGAGGCACGCCGCGCCGAGTCGCTCAAGATTATGAACGAGACCAACAACAAGAGGGAGAAGATCGACGAGCTGCTCGAATACATCAAGGAGCGCCTCCGGGAGCTGGAGGAAGAGAAAGAGGAACTCCGGGGGTTCCAAGAGAAAGACCGCGAGCGAAGATGTCTCGAGTACGCCCTGTACCACCAGGAACAAGAAGCTTTCCAGGACCAGCTCGACCGCATCGAAAACATGCGCCAGAACGGCCTGGAGAGCACAGAGTCCATTCGTGCCGAGCTGAAGGAAGTCGAGAAGTCCATCGTCACACTGGAGGGCGAGATCGAAGAACTGGGCCGCGAGATGGAGCTGCTCCAGATCGACCGGCGCCAGCTGGAGGAAGACCGTCGCAAAACCTCAAAGGCCAAAGCCTTATCCGAACTGAACGTGAAGAATCTGTCGGACAGTCAGTCCGCGGCACTTCAGGCGGAGCGTGAGCACGATGCGGAGCTGGCAGCAGTACGAAAGGACATCGCAGAAAAGGAGAGGGAGCTCAAGGAAACCGCCCCCCTCCTCGCCGAACGGAAAAAGAGGGAGGCGGAGATCCGGCAACAGCTCGACCATGCGGAAGCCGTGCGCGCTCGTCTCTACGCCAAGCAGGGTCGCGGCTCGCAGTTCCGCACCAAGGCCGAGCGCGACAAGTGGCTGAGGCAAGAGATCGACGAGCTCCACACGACCCTGATGACGCAGAAGGCGAACAAGCTCGATGCCGACGAAGACGTCAGCCGGGTGGAAGGGTCCATCCAGCAGCTCGAGGACGAGGTCACTGCGCTGCGTTCGCGTCTCGAGAACTTCGGCAACGACAGCGGCGAACTGGCCGAGGAGGCGGCCCAGGCCAGGGCGGCGCACGATAAGATCTTCGACGAGAAGCAGACCTTGCTGCGCGAGGAAGAAAAACTGGAGAGCATAGCCCGAAACGCTCGGAAATCGCGGGACGATGCCGAGAACCGGCTCAGGCATGCCATGGACGGAGCCACGTCTCGCGGGCTGAACACGATACGGCGCCTGAAGCGGGAGCACAACTTGTCGGGGGCCTATGGCACGTTGGCGGAACTCTTCGAAGTCAACGAGGCGTACCGCTTGGCCGCCGAGCAGATCGCGGGGAACAGCCTGTTCCATTACGTCGTCGACAACTCGGAAACGGCGACGTTCCTGGCTAACGCCCTACACAAAGAGCGTGGCGGCCGAGTCACGTTCATGCCGCTGCAACAGCTCCGGCCCAGGCACGTCAACTTCCCGAGGTCGCAAGACGGCGGCGCCGTACCCCTGCTGAGCAAACTCAAGTACGGACCGAAGTACGAGAAGGCGTTCCAGCAGGTCTTTGGCAAGGCTGTCGTGTGTCCCAACCTGAGCATCGCCACACAGTATGCCCGGAGCCACGGCGTCGACGCCATTACCCCCGACGGCGACCAAGCGAACAAGAGAGGCGCGATGACCGGTGGCTACGTCGACCCGCGGGGATCGCGCCTCGAAGTGGTGCAGTCGGTCAAGAAATGGCGCGAGGAGGACGAGCAGCTACGCGCCCAGCTCGACGAGCTCAGGTCGCGCATCGAGAAGAAGGAGCAACAAATCACCCACGCCCTGGGCGAGGTCCAGAAAGTCGAGCAGAAGCTCCGCCAGCTCGAGACCGGGTTTGATCCCCTGAGGAACGAGCTGCAAGCCAAGATCGCCCACCTGGAGAGCGAGAAGAAGCACGTCGACGCGGCGATCAAGCGACGCGAGACGGTGGAGAAGAACATGAAGGACTTTTCGGTCGAACTCTCTGCCCATGAGGCGGAGCTGGCGTCGGACTTTAAGAAGGCCCTGACGTCGTCCGAGGAGCGGCAGCTGGAGGGGTTGAACACACAGGCGCAGGAGCTCCAGGCGGAATGGAACAAGGCCAGCCAGGAGCGGAGAGACGTGGAAGGTCGGAGGCAGATCCTCGAGGCGGAATTGACACAGAACCTTCGGCTCAGGCTGGACCAGCTCAACAGCCAGGCCTTCGAGAACCGATCCTCGGGCGCCTCGGGCAGCGCCTCGGGCGACCTGAAAGAGGCGCAGCGCGAGCTCAGGAAGCAGACCACGGTGTTGAAAGACGTGGAAGCGCGGATCAAGGTCATCGAAGACAAACTGGAGGAGATGGAGGGCGAGATTGCCGACAGGGTGACCAGGAAAGCCGAGCAGGAACAGCGTCAGAACGAGATGGCCACGAGGGAGGAGAAGCAAAGAAGCATGATCGAGAAGAGCATGTCCAAGAAGGCCCTATACACCTCTCAGGTGGCAGATGCCGCCAAAGCCATCCGCGATCTCGGCGTTCTTCCCGACGACTTTAGCAAGTACGAGAACTTGGATCCGAAACAGGTAAGGGAATACCGGATCACCGCCACCGCCCCCCTCCCCTGTCTTTTGCGGATTAGAGGATGCTAACAATGTCCTTTTTCCCTTCAGATCGATTCCAGACTCAAAAAGGTCCGCAACGCGCTCAAGAAATACCAGCACGTCAACAAGAAAGCGTTCGAGCAATACAACAGTTTCACGTCTCAACAGGACCAGCTGCTCAAGCGGAGGGCGGACCTCGATGCTTCGCAAAACTCCATCGAGGAGCTGGTGGCGCATCTTGACCAGCGCAAGGACGAGGCCATCGAACGGACCTTCAAACAGGTGTCCAAGGAGTTCGCCACCGTCTTCGAGAAGCTCGTGCCGGCCGGCCACGGGCGCCTCGTCATCCAACGCCGCACCGACCGGAGGCAAGTCGAACCGGAGGACTCGGATGACGAGCGGCAACGGAACAGTGTGGAGAACTACACCGGTGTCGGCATTAGCGTGTCTTTCAACTCCAAGACGCTCGACGAGCAGCAGCGGATCCAACAGCTCAGTGGTGGGCAGAAGAGTATGCAACTTGTCCTTTCTTGTCCAGGTTTTTTTTTTTTTTCAGGCAGGCAGTATCGCTAACACGAACCTCGGCTAGGTCTTTGCGCGCTCTGTCTCATCTTCGCTCTTCAGCAAACCGAATCAAGTCCCATGGTCATCTTCGACGAGGTCGACGCCAACTTGGATGCGCAGTACCGTACGGCCGTGGCTGCCCTCCTGGAATCCACGTCGCGCGAAGCGGGCACCCAGTTCATCTGCACCACCTTCCGCCCCGAAATTGTGCACATCGCCGACAAGTGCTATGGTGTTACATTCCATAACAAGACATCTGGCATCGACGTCGTTTCCACCGACGAGGCGCTCAACTTTGTGGAGGGGCAGGCCAAGGGCGCCAAATAAGTCAGTCCTTTGCAGTATCCGTTGTCATGGGTAGTCATGTCGGCGGGACGGTGGAGGTGACAGGACAGGAATCATTACCAATCGTAATGTATATTTGCAGATGAGGTCGGCCAAGTGTATTTTTCTGGTGGTCACGATCCCGAGAAGTAGAATGCGTGAGGGAGTCCTGGCGTTAAGCGGCGGTCTGGGTATAGTACTAGTTGATTTAGAACGAACGACGCGATGACGGACAAGTTCGAGTTTGAGTTGCGGCTTTTCAAGCGGATAAAACTGAGCAAGTCAAGGAAACGAAGGCCGCATTGCGCCCGAGCACCTTGTTGATATGCTTACTAGGTAGGTAGGTAGGTAGGTAGGTAGTTAGAAAAGCAGCATCAGCTTCATCCTCCCGCTCTGCACCACGCGGTTCACAACGCATGCGTAGGGTAAGTAAAGCCGGGCAATCGTGGTATTCTCGTCTTCCCATGCGTGACCGTCGGCACTACTACACCTTTATAAAACTTGGACAGGACAAAAACTACCTTAAGATTCGCTTCTCCCACGACCCCTTCTCCCCCTATTTTGACTTCGCTTTGAACGACTTGAGCGGATCACTCTTCTTCCTCCCCACCTTGAACACCCTATGACTCGACTTCTTCCCCCCGGCCCTCCGGCTGGCGTTCCTCCGATCATTCTTTTTCCGCAACGGCACGAACCCCAGCTCCTCGGGGGCGAGCGCCTTCTTCCCCTCGTCGGGCAGAAGATAGTCCGGGACGTGGCGCAGATGCGCCTGGGTACGCGCGGCGCGCAGGGGGTCGTCGTGGCGCAAGTGGGCCAGCTCCTGCGGGTTCTCCTCGAAGTGGCGCCGCAGGCGGTCGCTCTTGATGATCTCCTGGCGCAGCTCGCGCAGGCGGGCGTCGCGGACGGCCACGCGGGTCACGGCGCGCAGGGCGTCGTGCATGCGGTAGCGGAACCGGTTCACCTGGTCCAGGTCGAACTGGTAGTCTTTCACCGTCCGCCCCAGCTTCCCCTGCTGCTTGACGATGCGGGCGAGGATCTTCCCGTCGTGCTCGGCCGAGTCGACCATGGAGTGGGGGTGCTTGCCGAACTGGTCTTCGGGGATCACGAAGGATAGGGACATGCCGGTCTGGCCCGCCCGGCCGGTACGTCCTATGCGATGCATGTACGACTTGGCGCTGGTGGGGAGGTCGAAATTGACCACGGCGGCGACGTTCTTGAAGTCGATACCTGTTTTGTAGGTGGAGAAGGAATACGAGTCAGCCTGCAAGTTCAACGACCCATAATAGAAGCGCAGAGTGAGTTGGCCTGGCCTGGCCTGGGCTGACATGGGGGGCGCGTACCTCTAGATATACCAAACTCTTTATCCCTCCGCGAAGGCTTCTCTCTCTTTTTGGACTTGCCCTTCTTGTCCGCCTTTGCTGCCTTTGTCGTTTTTGACGACTCCTCCCCCCCTTCGTTGTCCTGCTCTTCCTCGTCGCCGCCTTTGTCCTTCTCCTCGTCGCCTAGCGCCTCGTTCTCGTCAGAGGCGATGATAATGTCGTATACGCCCTTATTGAACTCCTCGACCACATGGATCCGGCTGTTGACCGGAAGCTCCGAGTTGAGCACGCAGCTCCGGATGCCGAACTGTTCGAAAAAGAGCTTGAGCTTGTAGCACCTGTCGACGTCCTGCGTGAAGACGAGCACCTTGCCCTGGATCAACCGCAGCTTGAAGATGACGTAGGCGAGCAAGAACTTGTCTTCCTCGCTGCACTTCACGACGTACTGCACGATGCCCTCTCCTTCTCCCTGCGGTTCTTCCAGGTCCAGCAGCGCCGGGTTCCGGCAGAAGAGCCCCTTGACGGTATGGACCTCGGGGGTCAGTGTGGCGCTCATGAGGATCGTCTGCACGCCTTTGGGCATCGAACGAGCCACGTTCTGCAGGTCCTCCTCGTAGCCGTAGCTGAGCACGAGGTCGGCCTCGTCGAGGACGGCGTGGACCAGATGCTCGAGGGGAAGGGCACCGCTGCTCACGTTGGTCCATGCGCCGGCCGGTGTCGCGATGACAATGTCGGGGTTTGTGGAGAGGAGACTCCTCTGAACGGTGGCAGAGAGCTTGTCGGTGAGCTTGACGGCCTGGATGCTCTTGCAGAACACCGTGAGGGATTCGATGACCTTGAATACTTGATCGGCGAGTTCCCTCGTCGGCACGAGGATCAGTGACGACGTGACCGGGGCTGCAGCGTCTTTCCCGCTCCCTCTCTCCTTTCGTGTAATGATTTTCTGCAAGACGGGGAGCAGATATGACGCCGTCTTTCCGGAGCCGGTGACGGCCTTTGCAATGACGTCTCGCCCATCGAGGATCAGGGGAATGGCCGTGCTTTGAATCGGGGTCATATGGCGGTAGCCCTGTGCAGCGACGCCCTGAAGCAGGCGGGGATCAAGGTCTAGTTCTCCAAAAGATTTCGCCTCGACTGTCTTTTTCGGCTTTGTTCCCTTTTCGGGGTCTTCGGTCTCGTCAAGTTTGCGCTTCATTTTGTCCTCGGGTTGTCGATTTGTCGACCAGGAACGAGTCGTAGTGGGATCGATAGGGTGAGGGAAGTGAGAGGAGTTGAAAATCGTCGGAATATAACGGTCACTGGGGTGTTGTTATTGCATCCAGGAGTTCATATACTCTTCTGCCGGGTCTTACTGAGTCGCAATCACTAGCCTGCAGTAAGATGGGTAGGGATCAATGGTTGGGATGGTTGGGAAGAACTGAGGTCGAGTGTTTCTTCTCTCAGCTCGGAAAGCCGCTGGTACCAGAGCACCAATACAACGGTCAGTCCGTCCTGCAACGAAAAATTTCTTATCGATCCCCCGCCCCACCCATCTGAGATGCTATCAATTCCCCCGATAAACCAAACTGTGCCTGATTTTAGCGGGTACCGTACCCTTAAAGCCAATGGAAGTGAAGACTGATAAGAGCAAGCTCCATAAGGGAAGGTACCTTACCTACCTTATCAGGTACGGAGTACATTTGCAGCCATTCCCGCCCTCTTCCCATTTTCAGTCGTTCACCTAATGAAAAAAAAAAAAAAAAAAAAGAGTATCATCTCGACGAGCCTCACCGTCGTTCATAAAAGTAAAAAGGAAAAAAGTAAAAAAGCCCCCCGCCTCCAAATGGCCTCCGTACTTGGAAAGCGCAAGTCGCGCAACACAGAACTGTCCATATCCGAAGAAGAGGCTCAAGCAATATTTCGACGTCACTTCGAAGCCCAATTCAAGCCTTTGCCAGAGCAGCCAAAGTCCAACCCCCAGATCGCGGACGATGATTTAGCGACAGACACCGACGAAAGCGACGACTCCGAGTGGGGAGGCATATCAGACGAAGATGACGGAGATGGCTCGTCCGAACAGTCCGTGGAAGTCATCGACCACACATCCTCAAACACCCACGACCCGACCGTCTCCATGAGCAAACGCGAGCTCAAAGCCTTCATGGTCCGTCCATCTGCGCCTTCTCTTTCTCCCGTCAAGGCGCCCCAGTACTAACCAACACCTCGCCAAACAGTCATCCCGCCCTCCATCCACCGACACAACCCCCTCCTCCGTTCCCGCGCCCGCAGAACCCCCCTCCGACCCAGAAGACGAAGACGAGCGCACCCTCCGCGCCCAAGACCTCGCCCTCCAGCGCCTCCTCTCCGAATCCCACCTCCTCGCCTCCCTCACCCCGGGCTCCGTCCACTCCACCGCCGCCGCCCACAAACCCTTCGCCGCCGGCCGCCTCCGCCACAAGACCACCGACCTGCGCATCCAGTCCCTCGCCGGCGCCGACAGCATCTACGACCAGAAGAAGATGCCCATGGCCATGCGCAAGCGCATCCTCGCCACCCGCCAGGCCCGCGACGACAAGCGCCGCCGCGAGGCCAAGGAGAACGGCATCATCCTCGAACATCCCAGCAGCATCAACAAGAACAAGAAGACTCTCGCTCCCGCCAGGCCGAGACGGGACCAGGCCGTCGATGCCCCCGCCGTCGGGAGGCTGAAAGGCGCCCAGCTGCGCCTGAGCGAGAGGGATGTTCGAGCCATCGAAGGGAGTGGCGGGAGGGACTCGGTCGGTCGGGTTGGGCCCGGTAGGGCTGGAGCCGGGAAAAGAGGCCGGCGATGAACGAAGGCTTCAGACGGGGAGGATCATATATCTCATGGTTGGTTAGCTGGCCCAAGGTTTCAAGTTCTATTTGGTCGTTCTATTCAAAGCAAGCAGCTAGCGGGGAGGAAATTCAACACTTTGAAGATACCCTGGTTGTTTGTGTTCTCCGAAGATCGTTAAAACGAAGAAAAAAAAGGCCCGTATCTTTACTCTACACATCGGGGCCAACAACTCTCGGAACAAATTTTCTTTGATATATTCACCGACACCTTTGCACTCGATGCGGAGCAACACCTATATGTGACCACTACGGGCTGACTGATGGGACAGTAGTAATCGTCTCCCGACATCTCGATGGTATCATCTTCCCCTACCCCATGAGCAGTGTGGTCGTCCGAGGCGAGCCACATGTACACAACAAAAAAGGAGAATAAAAGAGAATGAAAAAAAAGAGAAAAGAGAGAAACATAGAAGAGAGAGAGAGAAAGAGAGAAATGAATATATACACAGCGTTCGTTCTCTCTTTTTCCATCTCACAAAAGGTCGAGAGGACAGTCTTGCACCCCCGCAAGGTCATATGCGCTTTGCCTGTTTCTTCCTCCATATCCATTCCCCATGGACCATGAGAGGGAAAAACAGGCAAAAGTGAGGGGGAAAAAAGAACGCTTAAACATGAAATAAGCCACCTCTCTATGACTGAACAAGGAGGCCGCATGAAGAGAATATAACCCAATAGAAAACGTCAAGCCATTCATCAGAAAAATCCCACCGTCTATTATCATGCAAATCCACAGCAAATCCGGTCGAAAACGCCTCAGCCCAAGTCCCACGCAGCCATGACCATATTCACATAACTTCAGTGTTGATAGCCTGGTGACTAAGAGTCATCGGCATGCTGAGGGTCTGCAGGCTGTTGTAGGTATGCTCCGCAGTCACACCGGTACGGTGGGACCCTTCATGGGACATGGCGTGGAGGCCGTTGTTGCCGTACGTCTCGGAAAGCGGCGAAGATTCTTCCTGGGATTGCAGCTGGTCTTCACTGACGAACTCTTCTTCCTTTTCGCCAGAGTAGTTGACGGGCGCCTCGGCACTGTCGCCACGGTCATGAGTCCGCTTGTGTCTGGAGAGAGAAAATCCAAAGGTTAGTTCGATGCTACCATCGCTGATAGGTTCGGTGGGTGAAGAAGAAAAAAAATAGGCAAAATTGGGGGGGAAGACATACTGTGCTAGGTTGTCTGATCGAGAAAACGCCTTGCTACAATGTGGGCAAATGTAGGGCTTTTCCTGGGTGTGCGTTCTCACGTGTCTAGATGCGGTTGGTCAGAATACCGTGATGCCAGACGAGTTGATGTGAGTGAACTGGTGGACGTACCTCTTGAGATGCTCCACGCGCTTGAACAGACGGCCGCACGTAGGGATGGGACAGGTGTGTGACTTCTGCGGATACGGTCCAACTTCCATGACGGAAGTTGATCGGTGCCGCACAGCGCCGCTGGGGGCTTGCATCACAGACCGAGGAGCAGCGGCCATGGCGCCTTCGCCCGCCATGCTGTCTGCCGTCAGTGGAGCATACTCGTGCTGCTGGATGGGCATAGGGTTCATGGACGGGCTGCCTTCCATATTGGACAGAGGCGTTCCATGTCGAGACAAATCGACGACATCCTTGTGCTGCTCGTGACAACGGGCAGACGTGGCTGTGCTATAGGAAAGGCCAGGAGGAGAGTTCTCGCCATGCTCCTCGCATTCTGCAACAGGTCCGACAGAGGCAGACACAGACCGACGGAGGTCCGAGGGTCGATAGGGGGCTGCCTGTGTCTGGCCCCCTGCCACAGGGACACCTGCCATAGTTGGGGGGATGGACGAACGCCGTCTCCTCTGCTTGTACGTCGGCGATCCTTCGTACACAGAGTAGACATTGGCGGGACCATAGCCTCGCGAGAATTGGGGCGCGGCGAAATTTGACGGCGGCAGAATCAGTCCATTGAGCGCATTCATGCCCGCACCCAGATGATCAGGGATGGCGGTGTAGAGGCCGGTCTCCTCGTTGGCGATGTAGGCAGGTTCGGCGGCAAGTCCCATGCTTTGCTGGGGAGGTGTGATAGGCTCGAAGGACATGCCCCGATTGCTGTAGTCTTCAAATTGCGAAGAGACAAACGAGGGAGCAGGTGAATACTCGAGGGTGTATGCGGGCATCGAGGCGTGTCTCTGGTGGTGACCGGCAGTGACGGGGATGCCGCTTTGGGTGTACTGAATACGGCCATAATCAGTCTCCCGTTTGACCATCTGCTGAGGAGGCATGGCCTGGGACATGGCCATCGTCTCGTACGACACCATGGCGTCCATCCCATCGCCTAAAGGGTGCATGGACTGGGGCGTCATCGACATGGGCGGCGGCATCGACTGAAGGGGCATCGACTGAGGGATCGACTGAGGCATCGACTGCGGCATCGACTGAGGGATCATCTGCGGCGGGGGCATCGAGTCCACTTCCCTCACGACGGGTGAAGTTGACTGCGACTGAGCAAAAGAAGAGGGCTGTTGAGCGGCCAAGGACGAAGAGGCTGCTTGTTGAGCCTTGGTGAGCTGCTCGTAGAGAGACTGAGACGAGTCGTATTGAAACGACAGAGCCGGTTCGCTCACCGCGACAGTGGTGGCTTCTTGGCCCATCTTCTCCCGCTTAAGGTCTCGCTCCAGGGCGTCGAGGAAGAGTCTGTCGTGGGGTACACTGTACCAGTAAAACACCTTCTGTTTCTTTTGCGTGCGAATGCAGTTATTCTTGTAAAGGAAGTCGAGAAAGGGGCTCTTAGGTTCTTCGAGCGATGCATCGGTACCGGACTTCAGGTTTCTAAGGTCCGAAAAGATGCCCTCTTCAAACTTCTTCGAGTTCTTCACAGGACGGCCGAAGGCCTGGAAACGAAATGAAAGGCATCGCACGATGTCCGTGCCAGTGATGTGGAAGAGGGTGTTCCAGAGGACACAAGAAACGTATTCGCCGGTGGGGAGGAGGCAACGGCGAATGTATTGCCTGTGGTCCCAGTCGACAGGGGCGGTCATAAGGAAGAATTTCACTACGAGTTAGATTGTCAGTAAGTGGGACGTGACCGAAATAAGGTAAGGTAAAGCTCGACGAGCCCTTCGGTGGTACATACGGCGATCAACCTCTTGTAGCGCTTGTTGCGCGTCATCTGGCAGGGCCTTTTGAGCTTCGGCGCTCAACATGAAAGTTTCGGGCTTCTGCGACGCCATGTTTGCACTTTGCTGGGAGTACATTTGAGCGGCTAGTGGGGGGGTAACGGGGGCGCTTGCGCAATTGAGTTCTCTAGGTGGCGGTTGTCGCTAGAAGAACGGTGGTTGGGTGGTGAACGTTTCCCGCCAGGACACCACTAGCCAATAACGGTGTCCCAATATGGAACGGTCCGTCTCAAAAAGGGAGAAAGACTTGAGATGAAGTGATCGGTCGGTGTCGATACGCTTGTGTGAGGAAACTATATGCTCTCAGAGCATTGGCGTCGCCCTTATCGTAGGGCGGGAAAATAAAGACGAGAATAACGGTATAAAATCGAGTCCAGCCCGGGAGACGGAAAAAATAGGAAACAAAGAGAGTATATGTTCAACAGTGTGGTTTAGTACACTCCACAACTCGGCGTCAAGCGAATGGTGGGCGTTCCAGTACGTGTGGACCAAGGTGATGCGGTATATCGATGGATGATGGCGTGAAGTTCGGGTCGGAACAGATGGTGGTTGATGTGAAGAGGACAGACAATAGGCTGGGAGAGCATTAAGGCGCCAAGTCGCAACTAGTATACCACAGAGCAGGTAGAAAAAGAGAATATAAATAGGCTCAACAGAAGAACCACACTTCGAAGCTACCGTGGAAGCACGCAGCTCAGCTCGTGGCACGGTCGGAATCGAAGGAAGGTGTGTTTGTTTAACGATGGGAAGATGAGAATCCGCGACAATAGACAAGCCGAGTAGTGGTTCCTGCCTGATGCGTCGGCGCTGAAGAGAGTGTGGTTCGGGTGGGTTTCTGTTGAGGTGAGAAATGAAAGGGGGGGTTGGTGTACGGTCCCGGTAGTCGTGGGCGGGAGGCCGAGATAGAGAATGGAAACAAGGGAGGGGAGAGGAAACGAAAGAAGGGAAAGGAAAAAAAAAGACTTTGCGAAGAAGGGAGATCGCAGGAGGGAAAGGACTGGGGTTTAATGATTTTGACGGGAGGGGGTGCGGAGAGGATTGGGTGCGAGGGAGAGCCGGAACGGCTGGATGGGGCAGGGCGAGCGACAGAGAGGGTGAGAAAGGGGGACAGGCGCTAGCTGGTTGTGCCAGTTGTGGGTGGGGGATATGCCCACTGCAGAGAGCAGAGAGCAGAGAGCAGAGAACGCCCAGACTGTACGTAAGGTACCTACGTTGTGCGTCGGTATTCGCACAAACGAAGTACCTTACATACTTTCAAATGTACTTCCTCCTCTCCAGGGGTGGGCAGGAACAGGGGACAGGGGATCATGGACGGGGGGAGACAGCAAGAACCGATGGGATAAAGCACAAGTCTTATCTGTACCTATACATACCTCATGCATAAGGTACCTAGATACCTGTACATTAAACTACCAGGTACCTTAGGTACATGACCGTAGATGGAAGCTGATCGCTGAACACCTTGTTCGGCCCACTTGATTGCACAGACCCTTCTGCCAGTCTTGGCAGCAATTCCCACAAAGCATCGCTATTCTATTTCCTTTTACCTAACCATACAACAATAACCAACACAATATTATAATAATTGCTTCGTAGAATATTCGTAGTAACATGGGGACAGTTCCAGAAGGACAAATTCAAAAGTTACTTCGAAGTATTCCCTAAATGGTTAAGATATCACAAGAAATGGCTTATATAAGGTACGATGTCTTCTTGTCGTAACGGTTTCTTTTCCTTTCTTGGTGCATTGAGCAGGGGGCTTTGAGAAGTACATTAGTTCAGCTTAGAAATCTGTACAATCTATAAAAGGTACCTACTCCTCGGCAAATCCTACCCTCATATGTTACCAAGCACTCTGCACTGTGTTATTCACCCGCAGTACGCACTGTACACAAAGGTCATGGATGCCATACCTACCTTAGGGAGTCACTGGCGAAGTGGTCTTCCTGTTTGGCTGTGGATTCCAGAAAAGATGAATAGATTATAAGTATGGTTAGCCTCCAAAGCATTTCAGCGAATACCCATGTTTGGCAGCTAAGTGGGAGTGTATTTTTCATGATTTCCCAGGTATACGGCATAGGTGCAATAGATGAAGCACATCAATCCTCCCTCTATAATAGGTACCTCCGTTTTATCAGTATACCTTAGTTTATTATGATAATTGAGCTCCAAAAGTACGCCCCACCAATCGCTTCCTTCATGGCCTTCTCTCCCTTTGTTCGCTACTTCGTACTTCGTCCTTGTTCTCCTATCTTCTACGCTGTACCTTCGCTAACATGATACGAAGGCTGAGCGTATTGGTTCTGCCATGTTTACACCACAGGTCCCAAGGTCCTTTGACAATTCTTTCCGACGATACTAGGGCGGAATTATATAGACCTTCTATCAACACGCTCAGTTCGTACAAGTTTATCCGACAAAAGGCATAAGGATGGACTTAGACCAGTAGTTAAGATCATGTTGTTCCACCCTTTCACCTTCGGAATAGGCGAGCAGGGCCTCACTGGAACGCAGGGGGGCAGTGGCAGTTCAGTTCATCCCATGGAGGGACTATATCACAAAAGGCACATTTGTCTCCCTCCCACATGGCTAGGTCCTGTTCCCAGACGCGGATGTGTTTGGAACCGCATGATTTCGAGGCACTTATACATCTTGTCTCCGTATAAACTACATTGAGCCGTCGTCTTGCGTCCATACATTTGCCATTCTTATAATGGTAGTGCCTCTGGCGAGCTCGCGGTGCGACAGTGCAACGGATTCTGATGTCAGACGAGAAGCTTTGGGTGGCAGTAAGTAAGCCGTGTGGGCCGTGTGGTAAAGTTTACCAGTTGTTGGGAGTCTCATGGAGCTTCGCGTGTATCGAGGGAATGATAGATATTAGACACAACAGACAAAAAGTTCCTGTCTTCCGAAGCTCAGCCAAGAACATGCTGTGTTCAACAAGGAAGGGGCAAAAATTACTCGTCTTCGTCCGTACTCACTGCCGAGATGGCATCTTAAGAAGGATGCCCGCGTGTTATTGACAGGGTTCATTCGGAACCCCTCCCCCCCCGGGAGAAGTACATACGAAGGTTGGGCTAGATCCAATGTTACCTGAGAATTTGCTGATCGTAGTTGTATTTACTGGTTGCCTTAACCGAGCCATTTTTACCCTTACATACTGATATCCCGAATTTTCATCATCAACGGTATCCGTGAGAAGTTCTTTTGTGGAATGCTTAAAGTAGATGATAGATTGCTTCTCAGTTGGTGAGGACCATCACCATGCCTGGTCATCTATTCGTAATCGCAACGAAAGACAGGTAAAGCGATTTAATGGGAAGCCAGTTTCGACTCGCCCATTCAGGTACACAATGTTGTGTTCGGCAGAACGAGAGAACGGAAGAAAATCGTTTGTCAGGCTACACACCTCAGTTAACTCCCAGCAGCGATAGCAGACAAGAATTGCCGAGTGAATTATCGGGCATGGTTCTCTGCCACCGATTTTCAGAAAGTTCTGTATCTCTGGCAATTCAACGTCCCGCCCGTTCAGCGCGTGATTCTTCTTCGTGGTGATGGAAACAAAAGGGGCAAAACCAAACAATCTGGGCGTTGACCCATCTCCACAGCTAATATCGCTTGTCGGCAGTCGCACAGAGACTGTACAGTACCCACGACGACCAACTCCACTACCTAGGTAGCGAAGCGAAACTATGTATGTACTTCGGGAAAGCTGCACAAAATGGCCTGATGGCTTTTCACATATGTATTCGTACATATGTACGGTACGTTGTAGGTAATACTCGGCATCGAATAGGTATGCAGCCATTGATGACTCGTGGCTGACAACACAGTTAAGAGAAGAACGTTTGGTCCCCTGGGCTGGGTTCGACTTGTTTCCTAAGAACCTACGTCTCCGAGGTCAGTATCCCCTCCGAAGGTCCCAACCATGTGCATGTATGAGAATTCGAGAGTGTAATAAGGGTCATCTTGTTCATGATGAGTTGGGCGCATCCATCCACCCAAAGGCTTTTTCCCGTTTAATTTTACATTTTTGACGTGCCCCGCAGTAGGCCGTTCCTCCGTCCCATGAGCACCAGCCGTAGTAACTAAGCGTGGTTCTTAACGTCAATAGTTGACCATAGATGGCATGGTCACCAGGGGCATTGACGCCTCTTCTCATTACAAGTGCTCATGTGACGACGAACGCCTCTTAAAAGCCACAACCGGTGGGCAGCAGCCACACAGCTAGGATAAGATGGCCCTGTCCATCTGAAACACATCTGGCGCTCCAACTTTGGTACGGATGAAGTCTACACCAAGTACAACGTACGAATACAACGTACGAATACAACGTACGAATACAACGTACGAATACAACGTACGAATACAACGTACTTCCATCACTCAGAAGCACAGCCTCCTGCAATGCACGTCTACCAACTTTTAGGGATTGTTATCAACCGTCCCGCCAATCCGTGTCCTTTACGAGCGCGAAGTACGAATACAAAGCCACTAGTACGGTGTGCTTCGTTGCGAGTAGTAACTGCGAGAGTAACTAGAGGCCAATTTGCAAGATGATTACCTAGGTAGGTATCTTGACGCGTTCAGATACTCATGAAGCCATAACCGAAGCGAGAAAAACCAACCCGTTGACTGAACGCGACTCGACGACGTCCGAAAATAAAATTGGTCGGTGTTTTCGCAAGGAACAACACTAGAGCGTCATCTACGATCTACGCCGTCGCCTTCGAGAACCGAGCTAGTCGGACATCCAGCACTTTGTCGATTGTTTCCTACACGACAATGCATTCTTAAATGGTCTACATTACACCACTTGTGGAATGCAAGCCATCACGTTTCTAGATCCTGAAACCTGAGCTAACGGCCTGGCCTCGCCCGGCCGGCTATTTTGGGCGATGAGTTATGTACGAAGTACTTCGTATGATCAACAAGACTGACTCCTCCCCACGACATCGACGACGGTTCTTCTAGGCGTGCGTACAACGAACTGATGTGGATAAGCCCCTAGGTCACGTCACGTATGCCCGATCGTCCGGCTGCCCCTTGATTTCCTCCGTGCGCTCACCGACATCGATGTGGGTTTTCCCAGAAGAGGTAATCGAGTTCTCTTGGCGTTCGTATCCGGTGCGCAGCTCGCACGCAAAAGCCCAGTCTACTGCAGTTGGGGGCCGTGGAAGACATTGTCGACAGAGGCGAATTTTGACGACTTTTTTAGCCCCTCCACCTCCATCTCTTAGCCAAAATTGATGGTTACCGGTATGTACCATGCTGATGACGGTCGAGCTAGAGCTCGGACCTCGACGCAACGTGCATGACGTCCGTGGCTCCTCAACCCCAAAAAGGAAGAAGGTTCCGTGCGCAGTCTCTCCTCTTGGTAAGCTAAGGTAGCATGCGAGCATGCAAGATCCCTTGTGTAATTTCAAAATGTACGCCAGCGAGAAGAGCAATAATTACCTACCTGACCTGCGGGCCAGACCAGATACTTCCAAGGAGGTGAGCAAGGAAAAATGCTGCGATCGTGGGGCGTCGTAACTTACCCTTCTTCCCGCGCCACGCGATGATGTTCATCCATTGGATCTTGCTTACACGCCTACTTTGTACTACAAGCATATCTTGGGCGCGATGCGGAGGGCACTAAGACGAATACCGGGGAAAGTATTGGGGAGGGAAAACTGAGGACGGAAGAGGATCCTCGTGGGGAAGCAACCAAGCAGCGTGCCGGGCGTAACGCGCACGTCCCGCTGACGCCAAGAAGAAAGAAAAAACGTTGGCAAAGCCAATCGCCCTGCCCATGTTCGAGGGGGGGGGGGCGTCGGGCTTACATAACACTGTTGTGGGCCGACTTTTCGCGTCTGCTGGTTGCTGATAGCTGGTTGCTACCCCATCCAGGCACATGTATCCGCAGGCTGGTAAGTGCGTTTCAGGAGTCGCGTTAATCAGAATTAGGAAAGGTTCAAATTCCGACAACCAATCATCATGCTTTTCGGTTTCAAGCCCCTGGCTAAACCATCGGGATGCCATGTATCTGCGGTGACGTTCATTGGCTGTCTTTGACTCGGTACGGAGAACATGAAAGTTGGAATGGGTCTTTCCATTGGGCTCCGTGCTTCCCGCATTTTCAGTCATCACATTGTGTGCAGGCTCCGGAACAGTCTTCCACTCTCCGCTCCGACATCCAAGAGGAGAACGAGCGCCTCTCGGCCGCCGGCTGCGACCTTTGTAACCAGAAATAGAACGCGACTGGTGTATGTACAACGTAAGCATGAACGAAGAGCCATGTTCTGACTGTAGATCCGCCGCCATGCATACCTACTATACGGAATCCAGCGAAGCGGAGTTGACAATTGGCAGTGGTGCGTGAGAAGCGGCTGGTCGCAGATGAAGCGACCTGATCATCTGCCATATGGGCGCTTCGTCAACATCGCTTGAAGAATTCTTCGAGCCAATTGCTAGCACCATCAAGCTTCGATGCTTTTTTCAGCGGTGGGGGGGGGGTTTTGGCTCCCGCAGCCATGCGCTGTCGGGGCGCGTATGTACTGCGACCAGCTATTAGTGACCACGAACGGAGTATGTCGGCGGGGTGCATACAATGAATGCCATTGTCGCATACCGATTTCTGATTTCGCGGTCGTCAGTCAGAGTTCAACCCTGCGCTGCGGTCTTTGGTCCCGCACGGGGTCCTCAAGTCCGGACCCCAGGACCAGGTGAACGTTCGTATGAAGATCTGAAACTGTAGATCCTCATCCGAGGGCAACCTTCCAGTTGGCAGCGCATCACGTACATTACGTCGTCGACGAAACAAAACGAACATATACACACACAGAAAAACAGAAAAATAGAAATCGTGGAGGCCGTCATCAACCGAGCCTGCCACTTCTCCCCGAACCTTCTTTCCTACGCCGGCATAAAATCAAAACCCCGCCGTCGCAGTGCGCAATGTCACGACATGTTGTAAACCTTGTGGAGAACAGGTCATATCGGCAGCCCTCTGGTTCTTCCGTAAATAGAGCACTGGGTCTGCTTTTCGCCGCCCAAGGGGGTTGGTTGGTAGTTGATGTCGTATCTACCAAAAGTACCAAGGTATATATACTAGGCCGGCTATAACGCCACTGATACCACAGGTCCGTTGCCCAAGTCGGGTTGAAGGAATCATGAAGGTGGCCTCGGCGAAAAAACACGCCGTAACCCTTGGCCTTGCCGTCTTCGTCGGGAGGGGAGGGAGAGGTCGGGTCAGTGCTCGGCCTGCAGCATCTCAAACAAGCCTCCAGGTGAGCATTCAGGTACATGAAACACAAAGACGAACAAGGGACAAGTCACTCCGTTGTCGCAGGTTTTTCCAGAACCGACGAGACCCACCCAAGAAAGAATCTCTCCGGGATAATTATGTAAGCCCCGACGACACCTCGTGTGGGGTGGTGGTCACTCCCCAACTTCGTTGAGGTAGGGGGCTGGGGACAATATCTAGGGAGCTGCGGTCAAGCGGGCTCAATAAGGCGAAGCTGAAATTGAGACGTTTTTTTTTTTTTTTTCGTTGTTTTTTCCCGACAAATGCTGCTTAGCCGAGTCGGTGGCGGGGAACCGGCTGAAGAACTGCGGGTTGCATGGCTATGAGCATGGGATGTCGATGTTGTTCGGGATCATCCCAATGGCATAAATGGGGGGATGGGGGGTAGTTATCCCGTGGTCTGGCCAGCTGGTTTGTGGCGATTTGACAAGGACGGCATGTGTTCATGGACGGGAACTAGGCCTCGACGGGGGACTTGAAACATGATGGTCCTGACCTCCGCCTTCCCCATGCATCGATCAAATGCAAGGGAATGTCTTGAGAGAAATCCCATCACATCTCTGTCTGCCAGTGTCAGTCAACGAGGAACGAAGTCTGCATCACAGCATTGCGCTGGAACAGGGCAGGACGCTTTGCCCTGCCCTTACGTCAATCATCCCTCGGAAGATACAGCCCACTCTCGACCTGATGCTACCTTTCCCGGCACGTCTTTCTCCCAGCAAGGCGCCCAAGGCGGCTCACTGGCTCATCCTTGGTCCCTCCCTACCGTATACATACATACCTGTCGGGATATTGGGGGACATGTCAGGCCTTCCCTGCTCCTGGGTGGTATTGTCGTTGAAATCCCGCCACTCCACACTCAGATCTTCCCTATCGCATCTCTTTCCCAGCCGCCGTCTTGTTCTACCCCAGCCTGGATCGACTTCTGAAACGCGCGTCCACCTACTCGTCGCTGACTCCGATTGGCCTCCTTACCTATTGTAGCATAAACATCGCAACCTGGCCTCGGCCCTCCCTTGGCCAGCCAGGGTGTGCCCGTTTGCGCCTGCGTACTATTCTGGGTCGGTCCCTTGGAAAACCCCACCTCTAGGGTTAACCCAACCTCTCAAGTATGGTGGGCAGTTCTGGCTCCGAGGGCTAGACGACAAAGAACAACTAGGGATGGCTACACTGAGATGCCACGGGAAGAGCCAATGTCAACCGTGGGAGCATCGTCCAGGGAAGTATGCACTGCGGAGAGAAGATGCTCTGGTAGTTCTGACGATTTCCACTACGGTCAGGGGCGAATGTAGAAGTGTTCCTCATCCTGGGTTGTGGTTAGTAGTGGATATCTTAACTCTGCCGTGCACCGCCCTTTTGTCAAACTTCTCGTCCAGCTTTGGAAAAGAACATAGTACGAGTCAATATCTTGACCGGAGGGGTCTCGTGGAAACTGTTTGCGTTTGATTTGTAACCTCAGTCTGTCAGGTATGGAACCTGTCCTCTCAAAAACAAGACAACGTTGAACCGCGGATCGAGTGTCTCCTTCATCCAACCGAAGCTTGTAGTTCCAGGCAGTGAATACCTAGCTGATGAACAGCCGTTTGTCTTGCGGCTTCCGCTCACACAATCAGCGAGAACATCTCCAACACGTATCATTTATAGAATCATGGAGGGTTATGGATAAGGGAAGGCGATATCTACTGTTACAATGAATACGGCCCAGTTCACGGGATTCCACATAATATACGCAGGATGCCAAAATACGATAACATGACCGGATATATTTACAACTTTTTCAAGAGGAACACGCAGCTCCGCCAGTACTACTATCCTTGCGCTCTTCCCACCTCCTTCCGTGGCCCGCCTCGCGTTGTCTAGACTTAAGGCCGGGGGGTCTCTTGGGCAAAGCCCTCCCTGCCAACTTCTCTGTCTCTGGATACCTAGCGAAGAGAGATACGCACGGGGTATAGGAAGGTGGGTGTACATTATCCTGTCGAGGACCCGAGAGACACTACACGTACATGCAGAACAAATACAAGAATGCAGAAATCTCTTCAGGAAACCCGACTCGCCTGCTTTGCCTGTATGTTTATCCAGCGGCTTGCCAAAAAAAGAAAAAAAAAAGAATTGTAATAATAATAATAGAAAGAAGAAAAATCATCTCTTCATCCCCCGTCTCTCATCTAAAGCCCAACCTCAGCGGCGCATCCAATCATACGGGGGATCATAATGCTCGTCCACGCGCCCCCTCTATCTGAAAAATTCGCCACAGACGGCGCCCTCCCAGACATTTTAACTTAGTCCCCCCTGGCCGCCTCCAGCTCCAGCTCCAACTGCCGAATCCGCTCGCTCTGATCCTGCGAAGTCCCGGCCGCCGACCCGACCCTGCGCTTCAAACTATCCACCTCGGCCGTAAGCTGCACAATCCTCTCGTTCTGGGAGCTGATCAGCTTCGTCTGACGCTCGAGGAGCTGTTTAATCTCCTCCAGAGACGATTCGACCGTGCTCGTCGACGCAGCCGCCGCGGCGCCGCTGCTGATATTGGTGGTGGTGGTGGTGGTGTTGTTGTCGTCGTTCTCGTTGTCGTTGTCGTTGTTGCTGCCGGCTGCCGGCTGCGGCTCTCTGACGGGCGCCTTGACCTGGGCAGGCGGCTGCTTTGCCGGCTCGGGGCGGACGGGGGCAGCAGAAGTAGTAGCAGCAGCAGGTGTGGCAGCGGCAGGGGGACCTCGCGGCTGCGGTCTCTGAACCTGCTCAAAGCTCGAATCATCGTCGCTGCTCTCCTCTTCGTCCTCGGGGTCCTCGTCCTTGAACTTGCTTGCCATGTTCGAGATGGAAGCTTGTTGATCCTTCATCGACGGTGGCGGGCCACGTGCGACCGGCGCACTGGGCTCGGGCTCTTCCTTCTTAGGTGCCGGCTTCGCTGCGGCGGGGGCAGGGGCAGGGGCGGGCTTCGGTTTGTACTCGGCCTGAACCTCCTTCGGCGCGGTGCCCTCGTAGACGCTCTCCAGATCGATCTTGGGAGGGAGACCTTCCTTGCCGTCGATCCACTCCTGCGCAGACATGGCAGGCTTGAGGCCGGTAGCGGGAGGGAAGATGTCAGACTGGAACGTCTCGGCCCTTCGAGGGACAGTGAAAGAGATGGGTTCAATGTAGGTGTCGTTGACCGTCTTGTAAGCTCTCATGACCTCGTTCTCGTGGACCTACATAGCATGTCGGTCAGTGGGACTCCTTGGAAGAAAGGGCAAGAAGGGCAAGGAAAGAAAAGAAAGGAAAGGAAAAGAAAAGTCCTTACGTTGATGCCGCGTCTCGGGCAGAAAGCAATGCCTCTTTGCGGCTCGGCCGACTTGTACTCGCTCAAAAATTCAAACTTGTCGTTCTCGTACTCGAAGTATCGAATGTTGCCATCGCTATTGAGTACAGGTCAGTCAGTCAGTCCGTCCGTCCATGGCTTCTACTTCCCCAGGCCGATTCACGGAAGCAAACATAACATACCCCTTGCCAGCGAGGTACAGGCAGTTCGAGCCATCATCTACAGGATGGGTGTGGTCAGTCATCGCCTTTCTCCGTGAGCGGGTTATTCGCCACGCGCAGAGGGTGCCGCCCACTCACCCCAGAAGGGCATGCAAACTCCCGAGATGGAGTCGAGCATGGTGAAGCCGCCGATAGGATCCGGGCGGCCGGGTTCCCACAGCGCAATCTGGCGTTCGCTCATGCGGGAGAAGCCCGTGGTGGCGAACCGATTATGTTCGCCCATCCAGACGGTCCTGCTGTTTTTCGCACCGGCGTGGCCGGCGGATTCATGGACGGGCGTCTCCTGGCGCACGTCCCAGACGCGGATCTTCTTGTCGCGGGAGGTCGTGACGAGGAGGGAGCCAGGGGCGTTCCACGACAGGCTCTGAACGAGGTCGCCGTGTTTGAGGAGGTGGGTGGACTGGCCGGTGCTGATGTCCCAGAGCTTGATGGTGAAATCGCCCGAGGCGGAGGCGAGGATGTTCTCGGCGGCAGGGTTGAAGAGGACTTGGCCGACCTTCCTGCGATGGCGCAACGGTCCCCGTTAGCGTTAGCGTCTCCTTGGTCACGAATCATCACCACGCGAACGCCAACGCGGGAGAAGAAGCTCGAGCAAGAAAGGGGAAAGGAGAAAGGGGAAAGGGGAAAGGAGAAAGGGGTCGCGAGGATACCTCGAATGGCCGGCAAGCTTGCTGACAGGGTGGACATCCGCAGGCTCTTCGGCGTCGGTGTGGAGAGTAAACCCTTCGGGGACCTCCCATATGAAGACCTTGCCATCCTCGGAGCTGGAAGCAATCACGCGGTCATTGAAAGGGTTCCTGGAGAAGTAAGGATGGAACCTATTGTTAGCAGACGATTCGAACACAGGGGTTCGTATCATGCGCAGTATGCATGGTGTGCATGGATTCGGAAAGGGCGGGAGCAACAGGAGAACGGGGGCCAAAGAAGTGCGTAGCCAGCAACAGTACGGGACGAGTAACGTACCAATCCGTATCGAGAACAGTAGCAGTATGGCCTCGAAACAGCGGGATCTGGTCTGGGACCTTGCCCCTCTCCTCTAGGGGGATGACGGCAAAGGCGCCACCGCCGCCAGCATCCCAATTGACAGAAAGGTATTCGGGATTGACCTATATACGGTGGGAGGGGGGGTTGTGGGAAAGCACCAAGCACAAAAACGAGTAAGCCCTGCCGTTCGATCCCAGAGGGTCTGTGGTGTTTTGGTTTCGTGCTTCGCGGCCAAGGTGTTGCGTTGCGTACCTTTACGAGATTCGTATCCCAGGCATTGCGGCTGATATGGAGGTTATCGTAGCAGAATTCCTTGCGCGTCGGCTTGCCGAAGACGTGTCCTATGAAGAAGAATCGGCGACAAGGCATCAGTGTCAGTTCAATGGTCGGCGCGTTCTGCAGCATCTTGCGACAGGGACAGCAACTCACGGTATTTCGACGCTCGCACAAACCGGCCAGCCATGGGGGGAAAGGACAGCAAGTGAGCCTTCTAGAAATGGTATGGATAGATTCGGGGGGGGTGAGGGTGGGTATGAAATAGAAATAATGCGGCGTATAGCAAGGAAGTAGAGAGACAAGGCGATAGTTGCGGCTGATGAAGGGGAGATTGTTTGAGGTTCGGAGGTCGTAACAAGGAGGAAAGGAGAGGTCACCGAAGTTAGGGGACGTGGAAACGAGGTACGTACATTTACGACACAGCGACACAGACAAAAGTAACGAATCGGTACTGATATTACCCCGCCCGCAACATACGAGTTGACAATAACGTCGAATTGGTTGTTTAGAGATCCCACTTAACTACCTAAGGTAAGTAGCTTCATTGAGGTAGGAGGTTCCTTATTGGCGAGCTTGTTCCAGCTGTCCGTTACGTCTACAGCGTACTTGTATCTGCCTTACCTTAGGTACCGTACGACCTTACGAGAACAGTTTAAGCGCAGGAACCACCACTGAGGAGGTCGTTCCAGGCAATGCTTCGCCACAACGTCCCCCTGACAGGACGTCAACGGCGAACACCTGACGCTACGATATAGGTACCTTATGCAAGCAGTGTATGAGGTACCTAACGTAGGGTAGCACACGGTGCAGAGGATTTACGCAAAGAAATACAAGTTCATATGCCTCGACTTTCTTTTTTCCTTTTTGAATACAGATACAACCACGTCGATTCTCTCCCGTCTTTGTCTTTGGCTTGGAAACCCATAAAACACCACTATCCACACCTGTAAGTCTGCCGTCTCTTCATCGCTTCCATGGCGAGAAAAGCCAGCAAACCACCACATGTCTAGCAAATGGGCCCAGCCAACTGCCATCCACAACCTTCCACTCTGAAGGTTCCTCGCCGGAGAAAAAGAAAAGAAGAAGAAGAATAAAAGAGCCAAGGACAAGGCGGAAAAAGAAAAGACAGATGCGAAAATCCCATACGCCAAAAAATACCCTAACAAGTATTAAAAAACCATGTAAAGGCGCACAAGGGTTGCCCTCGACGACCAACAACGACACACGAGCACCCCAACAAGTCCATACCGGGCCCCATTCGCCCAAGATCATGCCAAACCGGCCGGCCAGCACCGACAGCACGTGTCATGGTCTAGCGGCAGGGACGGATAATCTCGAGTCCTGACTGCGGAGACAAATCCGTCCAGTTGCCCCCCCACCCATCTGCGTTAACATCATACCCTTCCCATTCCCATCGTAACCCGTCGGGCTCGTGTCACTCATACCAAGTTGTGAGTGAGTTGTGTAAGAAGAGGTAGCCCGCATAACCCCAGCATATGTGGCTTCTACCTCCGTCGTTTGAGAAAGGGAGAGAGAAACAGATGATGGGGGCACCGGAAGAAAAATAAGGAGGCACAATGAAGGCCAAAGCCGAAGGCCCAAAAAACGAAGGGAAGCCGAGGGAGAGAAACAGAAAGAGAAAGAGTGACTCTCATTCCCAGCCCTGGGGGTTCAGTTATAGGTGCTCTTGGTCCGCGAATGCGTTCGGCGACCTTCGGCCCGTCGACGCAATGCCTCTTCCCGCTTAAGGACGAGCTCACACCACTTCGCCTTCATTCGTCGTCCGTTGCTGTCGTCATCGAGGCCCGTCTCGCCACGCCCAATGACATCGCCGAGTGCCTTCATCCACCCTTCTTTATCCGCTGCCGTGTCGGCGTAAAAGTCGATCACCTCGCCGTTGTTGAACCGGATACGGAACCCTTCTTCGACGAACATGTAGCCTTCCTCTTCTTCCGCGAAAGCAGATCGCCGACGCTTGCCGCCCTTGCCCGTGGTCTCCTTCTCCGTCAGTGCGCGACGGTCATCGATCAAGCGTTTGGCATTGCCGAGGTTGATCGTGGCACGAGGTTGCCGCGTAGCCTCGTGGTACGCCGTCAGCTTCGTCCCCACGAGCTTGAAGTATCTTCGGCGCCAGTACTATTTCCCGACAGTCAGTAACGTGTTTCGAATATCACCTCCCCCGCCGCTACGAGGTCACGCAAAGAATAGGGGCAAAACGCACCGGGCAGTCACCGCCCTGCTGACTCAAGTGTCCCTCCCAGTTTCTGGCAAGCCGCTCCTCGGCTGCCCTGAGTTCTCGGATGCAAGAATTCATGCTCTTAGGCATATCCTCGTCCGTCGTGCCCTTGGGGCGGGGCACGAAGAGGAGCTGAAGCTCGAGGTTGCCAATCTTGTAAGGTGCGCGACGGACCACCGCCGTGTTGCCCCGCTTGCTCTTCACGCTGGAAGCGAACGACGCCTCCTCGGTCGCCCACTCGTTGAAGCAGGCCACGTCGACCAGGTAGGGCCGCCCGTAGCAGCGCGGCTCATGCTCCTTGAGACAGACGTACGCGCGGGCGAAGCTGCCATCCTCGGCAGCCAGTGGCGACAAGAGGTCCCAAGACGTCGGCGCCGCCGCATTCATCTGCCTGGCTTGTGCCTCGCGCTGCTGTGCTGCGAGACGTTCCTCCTCCTCCCGTTGCCGGAGCTCCATCTCCTTTCTCTTCTTGGGCGACGCAAACACCCTGCTGAAGGTCGACGTCTTGGGCTTACTAACCTTAGTGGACGACAAGACCACCTTCTTGACCGGCGCCGGCTTGTCCAGCTTCACGTTCAGGGTCAGCTGGAATTCAAGATCATTAGGCACGACCAGCTCAAACTCCTGGCCGATGGGAGCGTTCCGAGCAAGTTCCAGCCACGCCGTCGTCACGCAATGGACACCATTGTCAAGAGTGAGGCTAAACCATGTCCGTTCATCTAACCGCCATTCAGGGGTCAGTTCCATTGTACCGAGGTAGGTGGGGGGGAGAGAAATGAAATCGAAAATTGCATGACAACGTACTCTTGGGCAGGGGGAGGTCAAGATCCTTGACTCCCATGACCTTCACGAAGAGCCTGCCTCGTTCTCCGCTCTCTTCGGTCGCCAATTCGGGGTTTACGTCGTCGTAGACCTGGGCCGCCTCCTGGGCGTTACTCTCGTGTCCGGGCAACGGTGGCACGGGTCCACCTGTCCCCTGTCTGTTTCGCAAGCTTCTCTGCTTTGTCTTGCTATTCCATGGTTCTACTGTCCAGGTTTGCGGGCGGTCCCTCTTGACGGGTGAATTACCCGCCGATCGGGCCTTCCACGGGTCGTCCGTATCCTTGTCGCTGGCCGCAACCAGCTTGGTGTTCTGGCGCATCAGGTAACCGCGCTGTTTGTGGCAAGTCATGTTAGCATTCTGTGACATGCTTCTTTCAGAGGCGCCTGTATTTTGGGACGTCAAGGGAGCCTGAGACGCTTGTCTGCTTAGGCTCGCAGTGGCAATACGGGGTGCCTGGATGGTGTGTTGGTCAAAAGCCACCTTTTGTGCCTCGATCACCCGCTCGAAATCTTGATCAAGACTGAGGCCAATGTCGAGATCCAACGTCAGACTTCGTTTCTTAAAGCTCGGATGCCGCTCAAGGAAGTCGTCGCCCGTCGTCTCTTCCACCTCGCGTTCGGCTTCCAGGTCGCGCGAAATACGGTTGCGATGGCGTTGTGGAATGGGAGGCACGTCGGGAACCTCGCGACTGACTTGCCGTCGAGCTTCTCGCATGGCAACAAGGTCAGACGGAGTGGCCGAAGGGCGGGTCTTCAACTTCGAGCCGGAAGCAGACTTGATCGTCGCCTGTCTCTCGGGGACGACGGGGGACTCTACGAGTTCCTCCTCTTGTTTTTCCTCCTCATTCACCTCTTCCATGTCCTGCTCGTACTCCTCGTCCTCCTCGTCCTCCTCTTCCAGGGGCACCGGATGACGAATGACGGAGTCGGGTGTGCCCGGTTCTTCAAATTCGCCCTCGGGATCGCCCCAGCCGGACCCGTCGTATTCAGGTTTAGACAGGTGCTCGGGCGTGTAAGGCCGCTTCGTGGGGGCCTGGTTATCCGTTGACTTGGCGGGAGACTCCAGGTCTTTGTCGGGAGCCGGAGTCTCGTCAGGCCTAGGAAGCATGTAGGTGGACAGGCCTTTAGAGAAGACAGCGTCCGAGTTTTCCTTCACGTCCGGCAAGCCCGTATCGACAGACTCGCTAGTATGGTGGCGAGGCGGGGGCGTCTCTTCAATTGGGCTGACAGCCCGAGGTGTGGTCACCTCGTCTTCAGTCTGGCTCACATGGGTCACATGAACTTCTTGAACCTTGACATCCTGGACGTGAGGCTCAGACTCATGCATGTCAGACCTGCGAAACTCATCAGAGTAGTGACTGGCTGAATCATCATCGTTGTCGTCCAGGCGCGAGTCCGACCGGTGATATAGGTCCGTGATGGAGTCCAAATCGGCGTCCTTGTCCAGGTCGCGATGAATAATCACGCTGTCATCTTCGTCGTGCAGGGTGAGCTCAGCCAGATCAGGCTCCTCCGTGGAAGGAATGGGCACGTCTGGATCATATGGAAGAGGTCGATCATGGGCGCGTTCCGGACTTGAGCTGGGAGGTGGAGAGGAAAACTGATAATCGGATTCCCTGTTCAACGACTGATTGCCGTTGACTCGCCGCAAGATGGATTCGCGGGAAATGCGAGGGGGGAGCTGATAATCATCAAGGCCGGAGATGTCCCCAATCGTGTCATCTTCCTCTTGGGCTTCAAACATGCTCGAATTAACCGAATCCATCTCAGGCGTGGGGCTCTGGAAGCGGTCACGCTGAGCGCCACGGCGGAGTCGGCGTTCTCTCTGCTGCTCGTTGGCCGTTTTCACGTCGTCTGAAAGCATCATAAGCTTCAGCCTCTCCTCGAGGGACATTTTGCCGTTGCCAATGTTCTGAATCTCCAGTTTGGAGGACGAAGCGGGGGGAGGGGAGGGCAAGCCCCTGTGGGAGCCGGACCCGAGCATCCTCTCGGCGGTGGCAGACAGGCCGGGTGACGAGCGAGCCGAGTTGCTCCGGGCAAGCTCGCCAGGAAGCGGCGGCAGAGGGCGGTGATCCGAGTTGGCAGAGTCCGTACGCATATGCGAGGGCCGAATGGCTGCAGAGTGGTGATGAGGGCGAGCCTCGGGCATCGGGCTGCTCTCAAAAGGATCGTCTCCCTGGCCGCTGTTGTGCCTCCAGTCGTCAGGGCCTACGACGGGCGTCTTGTCGGTATCCTCCAATGAAGCGTCGAAGCTGTCTTCCTGGCCGTCGAAATCGCCGAGGCGGTAGTGGCGTACTCCGTCTTCGTCGTCGTCGTCGCCGTCGTCGTCTTCGTGCGATTCGTAACTTCCTTCACGCGAGTTTGATTCTATGGATGAGATGTCTGGTGTGGCCATTTCATACTCATTGATCTGGGGAGGGGCGGCGTCGAACGTGACGCTCTTGGCATGACGATGGAGAGACCGACCGCTGGGAAGTTCACGCTCGTCCACCGAAGTGTCGGCAGACCAAACGCCGGTCTCCTGGTCGAAGCTGCCCTTGAACCTGCTGGCCGACAGGGATGATTTGATGGGCGAGGGTTGTTCCCTGCTAGGAGTCGGCGGCGGGTTGTTCTCTGCGCAGGCGTCGGTAGGGCTGCTGGGGCTGGTTGTTGTTGTCGTTGTTGTCGTTGTTGTTGTTGTGGCGCTTGTGGTGGTGGCAGTAGTTGGAGGCGGCGGGGCCATCTGGACGGAATTCTTGGACGGGCTCGTAGAAGGGCTGCCGAGGGGCACACTCGTCTTGCTCTCGCTGCGATGATGGCCGAACCCTGTGCGGTCGGATTCGGACCGAAGCCCCATCAATCCGGTCCCACCATAGGCATTGCCCTGGACCTTAGCAAGCGGGCGCTCAATCTGGGGCAGGCGGGTAGGATCGTATTCCAGCTTCTGCTCGAGGGCGAGAATGTTGCTATTCTTCACACGGGAAGCTCTCTGCAGGCGCTCAATGGAGGAACGGCGAGTGGGAGAGGGAGAGCCACTACGACCGTAAGGACTATTCTCGCTGTTGATGGAATTCAAGTTGCGGTTCTGCCAGAAGAGGCGTGGTGATGTTGCTGTCTCTAGAGGGGAAGACTGGAATGGCGAGGAGTCGGAGGTGAGTACCAATTTCTTTTCAAACAGTATGGTTAGCAGTCGGATCGATGTCCTGGAAGATCTGAGACACCCCGTCGGGAAAGGGAAACAGGGAGGGGCGGTGCAGAGATATGGAACGCGAAGGACGGCTCACTTTGTTCGCTGTCTGACTCCAGCTAGGGGAATTCCTCCTCATGTCCGAAGGGGACAGCTCCGACAAGGGGCGCGGAATGCCGCCTGCCATTTTAGAGGGAGACGTAGCCGAAGAGCTTTTGGAAATGCGGAGGGGATGCACCTAATAAGAACGACGAGATGATCAGACTGGGTCCGGCAATCGAGAGATTCGGGCACAATGCATGAGTGATGCGATGAAACTGGGCTGTCGACTCACGGGCTCTTCAGGGTCCATGTTGCGTCAAGATACAATTCGTACCAGAGCAGACCAGACAAATTAGCAGGACATTGGCCCTTCCGAAGTTGCGTTCCTCGTCAAATCAATATGGGATGTATCCTCGTTCAGGAAGTGACTCAGCCAAAGCCGACGGCGTGGTGAGTACGAGAATTCCGATTGTTGTAATGATGCGTCACGGTGTTTTCTCTTTATGCGCAGGAATGAATGTAGGTAGTATGAATCAAGAAGAACCACGCCGAGACAACAACAGAATGCCTATCTGTCAGAAGATGATATTTGCCTGCGTTCCAGTGTTTGGCCTTCGGCGGTCGAATGTTCAGTATTGGGAAGGGACTCGAATGGCACGAATGATGTTGGTGCGGTGGTGTTGTTTAAGGGAGGAGGGAACTCGAGAGGGAGGAAGTTGCGCCCAGGCAGATGATTGGAGCGCGGAGGGGGGTAAGTAAACAAACAGGGGAAGGCGCTGCCTGCAAACACCTGCAAGACGCACGGAGTCCTGTTGCCCCTAGCGACGGCCCCGCTGCTTTCGATCTACCTAGGCTACATTGAGGGACCCGCACAGGGAGGGGAAAGGCGGTGACCTGCTGCAAGAGCCTAAGGTACGAAATACTATTTCTGTGACGCCCTAGGGATCCCAGTGCCACCTATCAAATGCCGAGGACACACCAGATGACAGTACCTACCATTTGGTATCAATGATCGATGACGCCCATGATCAATGGCGGCAAGGCAGGGACGGATATATGGAGCACCTCCCTTGATAGGGGACAGTCGAAAGTTCGGACAACAATAACAAAACAATGCAAATGCACCCCATCAGTCTCTGCAAGCAACACACGCATTGCATCATGCGATATTGCATTGGTCCTTTTATGCTCCTTTTCTTCTTGTCCATCTATTTTGAGGGGTTAATATCACATTAGGTTGTACCCTATTGATGGTAATTACCTACACTCATGTTATTCAATCTGGCGGCCATGTCTCCCGTCTGTATCGAGACCTGGAGGTTGCAGATAGCCTTTGGCCAGTATTGACGGCTTATCATTTTTGATTCAGGGACTTTTGCCTGGTAGCTGGCTTTCTTGGGGTTGAAGTCTTCGTGTTGGTGTCACAAATGCGGCTCTCTGGGCTAGCCATCACACCAAGGCCGTCGCTGATCTACCAGAGAAGGAACATCATGTATCCGTACAGAGGTCGCACTGCATTGCCCTCATCCGCTCGTATCTGTCCCGTCCACTCCCCGCGGCGGACTAGGAGAGTCGGGCAGCAAACGGCGCAACACGTTTTGGTTTCCCTCGTTCAAGACGCCTGCGCCCGGTTCCACCGGGTACAATCGTCCAGCTTGACCCCGCTGCCCCCGAAACAGTCCAACGCGCTGCCGATTGTGAGATGTACCTTTCCGCTGCTGAGCCTCTTTACCGTCTCCAGGTCCTCGAGGTTCCGCCCCCCGCCAGCGTAGGTAACTGGGATGGAAGCCCACTGGGCGAGCTTCTCGACCAGCCGCTCGTCGATACCCTTTTGCAAGCCTTCGTTGTCGGCAGCGTGGATAAGAAACTCGGAGCAGTACGGTTCCAATTTCTGGATGGATTCTATATCCGTTGTCCCCCGTCCCCACCGCGATGCTGTCAGTCCCCTCTTTCTTCTTTTCCTTTTCTCTTCGTTTCTTTTCTTGTTTCCCCCCCCAGCCATTACGGTCCCGTGTTGCCGGCAGCCCACGGAACGTTCGCTTACATCTCGTGAAAGGGTACTACTAACCTTGATTGATCTCCATATCTGTGATGGTCTGCCATTTGTTCATGGCCACGAACCAGCTGTCTTCGCCCCGGCGTCGGCAGCTGAGGTCGATGACCAGCCTCTCTTTGTCGTTGCCCAGGGCGTTCAACACGGCGTCTAGCCTCTCCTGGCTGAACTTGCCGTCTGGGAAAAGAAAGGACGTGATGATGACCTATGAAGACCGAATCAGTCGTCCAAGAAAAGAAATAAGAAATAAGAAAAAGAAGAAGAAGAAGAAGAAGAAGAAGAAGAAGAAGAAGAAGAAGAAGAAAAGATATGGTGTGTCTCGGCCTCTTCGAAAGAGAAAGTTGGAGGGGGCCGAAACCCGTATCGCACCTTGTTTGCTCCAGCCTCGATCCATTCTTTTGCGTTCTTGTCGTTGATCCCACCACCCACTTGCAACCCGTCCGGCCACGCCCGGAGGGCCTCCCGTGCCGCCTCTTCGTTGCCGGGCCCTAGCATGATTACATGGGAGCCTGTGAGGTCATTGTCTCTGTATAGCTTGGCGAAATGTCCTGCCGAGTGTGACGAGACGAAGTTTGTCTGTAAGGCCTCCGTCGTGCTATCCAGTGTGCCGCCCACGATCTGCTTCACTTGGCCTGCGTGAAGGTCAATACAGGGACGAAATCGAGTCATTATGTTTGTCCCCAGGCAGATGAAGGAGTTGGTTAATAATGTGTGTCGAACCGTTTGGGTTTGCGGCTTGGGTTGATGATGAGACATGTCGTATCCTGTATGGTAGTCTGCGGGGCGAACCCCGCTAGGGTGGTGGGGATTTAAGCTGTTCTACGTCCGATTTGAGACCAAAACACGAGGGTCACGAATGGCATTTTTATCTGGACTTGGTACTAGAGCTCAACAATTATTCCCCAAAAAATATTACAGGATGATAGTATCCACGACATGATGAAGTACCGGTAAGGGGGTTGTATTAGTGCTGGGGCAATATGGTGATCATCCTTTCCTCCCCCTCTTGCTGTTCCCAGGTTGACAGGCAACGAATCCGACACGTAATAAAAGATGGAATGAAGTGAGAGGATTCAAGGAAAAGAAGGAAGAAAAAAAGAAAAAAAAAAGAGAAAAAAAAGAAAAAGAAAAAGAGAACTTGGACAGACAAAAATCAAAAAAAAATAAGAATCTGCTTGCACCTGGGTTCGAACCAGGGACCCCTTGCGTGTGAGGCAATTATGCTTCCACTACACCATGCAAGCTGTTCCATGATTAGTTCTTTCGAATTGGGACTTGTGTAGTGTTACCGAGTCAGGGGCTGGACACACATCGCTATCAGAAGGCAGGTTGTTGTGGAGACGGACCGTAGTGTTTTTGTGTGCACCCCCGTCTTCATCTGTTTTCGTATACTGTCAGAACATAAATAAGGTACGCGGAATTATGTGTGTATTTATCCAAGTGAAGCTCGTGGTACTCCACGGGGATGTCTAACTACTACCTACCCAGGTTTGGCTGGTTATAGGTCAGAGCCCGATGGACTGGTCAGATGTCGCAAGTCTTAGAACATCATGTTGACAGCGATGTCTCTGTCCTGGCTCTGGTTAGTGGGACAATACCACGACTTAGTAGTGGAAAGATGAAACCTCGTCCAGGAATGTATATGCCTTGGTAGAGATGAATATATTCGTCGAAAGCACCTCTCAGATGGGGTTTCTTTACGGGACAGCAGAAGCTGAGAAGCTCCTAACATTCATCGTCCTCTCTCTCTCGGACACCAAATGGCCCTGCCCTACCTGGTACCTTAGGGAGGTCGCACAGCACCTGGTGGTTCTGTACGGACCTGTACCAGGCAAATCAAACCCCCCTTCGGGTACGTACCGGAAGTACCGTACAGTACGTACCGTACGTACCTTGCCTGGGGTAACTGTCTCGGGCTCATGGTGACGACAACCCTTTTCGCCTCCTTCTTCCTCTCTCCTCTTATCTTCTCCCCTTCCCTCCCCCCTTCCCCCCTTCTTCCCGTCTCCAGCCTCGCCATTTCTCTGCCCTCTTGCTCCTCAACACCACTCATTCATCTTGCTCTACGAGAATGGTTTAAATCAAAACAATGGGTATCCGCATAGTTCCTCTCGTCTCTTACAGAAGCACCATGACGATATCAATCTCGTCCTCATGAGCCTCTACATATCCTCCTCATGGTAACCTGTCGACTGCCCCCGTCTAGGAAATCCCTTCCATGACATGTCCCAGCTTATCCGAGTAGTATATCCACCCGCTCTTGCCCGAAAGCCTCCCAAGCTCGCAGGAAGATATGTCCGACTCCTCGGCGGTAACATACGCTACCCACCCGCTCGACCCAGAGTACGTTGACAAATTCGACCACGCCGTCAGGGCCCGCGTTGGCTCGCAACTCTTTCAAGTCGGCACCCGCCGCCCCAAAGACGTCGCTTCCTGTTGGACCATCAATCGACCGCTCGCTTCCTTCGGATATGGCCACAAACTCGAGTCGTCCCTCTTCGCTCTCGTAGTTAGCCCCCTGAAGGCCCAGCCAGGCGTCATGGCTTCGCAACGACCCAATCCACCGCCCTGACCGGGGAGCCCAGATGCTCCCGATAGCCAGTGGGATTCCTCCGAACCCAGGCCCTCCGCCACGATCGCCTCCTGTCGGTCGTTCCGGGAACGGGGCGGCAAAATCGACCTCTAGGAAGGCTCTTGTAGTGTTGAACGAAAGCAGTGTCCCGGGATACGCCATCTCTCCGCCGATGGGCATCTCTAACGGGGGTGTGTCCGACACTAGCGGGACGGGATACCGGAAAGTCGCGCTTGGGTCGACGATATGCCGGAATGCTCCGCCGCCGCCTACCTTGCTCCACCCCGGGGGCAAACCTCCGCCGTTACTCCTGCGAGCGTGACGCACGGCACGGTAACGCATGCCATCGTTTCGTAGCGGCGTCGTCGTCGCCCGGTCAGTCAAGTGGAACTGGCATGTCGTTCGCAATCGGAACCCGTTGACGTTACGGAACCGCCGCCGCGCGGAGGAGTCCTGGTCTCGCCCTCCCTTATCGTCCTCCCCGGCCCGGCGCCCGCCGTCGCCGCCTTTCCCATTAGATGGCCTTGCCCCGTCCTCGAGCATGTAGTCGGCCGCGGCGCGCCAGAATGTCAAGTCGACGGAAACGCCGTCGTAGTACCATCCCATCCAACTCCAGCTGGGGACGGGGTTCATGCCGCCCGAGTCGAGGGTGGGAGCGATTTGGCGGCGCCGGATCGTGGCCGCCGGGCGCCACAGCAGGGCGGCGTCGAGAAACAACACGGGCATCCCGAAAACGAAACCGCCGGCGAAAGTCTTGTCCAGGACAGTGGTGAAGCCGCGGAAGGCGGCGGTCGTATCCTCGACGCGGCATAACCGGCGAGCCGAGAAGTCCATGCAGATACGTGCGTACTCGTCCAAGTCGGGCCATGGCGCGTGCCGGAAGCCCAAGGCAGCCGGACGGGGGCGGGCGGCGGCGCACTTCTGATGCGTGTTGTTATTGCGCCCCTTCCGAGGGACAGGCGCGCTAGAGGAACCGCGGAGGCTCAGCACGCGCTGCAAGCCGGGCACTTTGGAAGCAGCGGCGGCTCCGGGGGACGTGGGGCCGGCGCCGGCACTGGCACCGGCACCGGCACCGTCGGCCACGTCGACGTCGCCGGCGAGGTTCCAAGTCTGGCAGTGGCATTCCCACGTCATGGTCTTGTCGAAGACGAAGAGAGCCCTCCGGGCGTAGAAGCCTTCCTGCATGGTCCAGCACCGCTCGCGCCAGCGGCTACTGGTGATCATGTCGTGGTGGCCCTGCCGACCGGGGGGTCCCAGCGCATCCTTGGGAACGGGCGGAGGGGCTCTCCCGCCGGGGCTGACGAGGGCGCTGAGCCCGGTGTTGGCGTTCTCCCCGGCGGCGGCCACGACGGTGAGGTAAGCGTTGGCAAACACGTAGGCCATGTTTCGGATGTACTCGTCGCGCTCGGCGTCGTCGTCTTGGACGATGCAGAAGCGGTCGACCCAGAGGAGCCGGATGCCCAGCTTGCGGGCGAGCCAGATGGCGTCGTCGATGGCCTGGGGCATCTCGGCATGGTCGAGGCTCGCCGTGAGCATCTCGACGTTGTCCCGCTTGGTCTCCCGGGTGGCGTTGCCCGACGACAGAGGAGGGGGCTCGTAGACGTAGGTCAGGGCCATGTAGCGATCGCCGGCACGGGCGCGAACGAGGCGGCGATCGACGGCATCTATGAGCCAGGTGGGGAACCAGGTCGGGGATTCACCGGCGGCGTCGGGAGATGGAAGATCGGGTCCGAGGTCCGAGTCTCCATTCGGGCCGCCGGCAGCAGATGATGCGGCTGCCCCAGGGTAGGCTGCGGTGCCGGACGGAGGACGGGGAGTTCCGGTGCAGTGGTCGCCGTGCTCGGCATTGCACATGTCGATCCAATGGCGGACTTTAGCGAGCGGGGTGGCCTTGTTGTCGAGCGAGGGGACGCCCACCGCGGATGAAGGACGGCGGGAGGGCGCGCGGGAGTTGCGACGCTGCGAAGACGAGTTGGGGGGGTACGGCGGCGGGGTACCGCGCATGGCGTCTTTGCGGGCGTTCCAGGAGTGTCGGATGCGGTCGGTGAAGCTCTGCCGTCTGGAGGAGAAGTCGGGAGGGCTATCCCGGCCCCTGTCTCTCTCTCTGCGTCCGCCTCGGTCTCGGGGGTCTCTCCAGCTGTCTCGGTCTCGGTCCTTGTCGAGCCTCGGGCTAGGTCTGGCGCGAGGGTCGGCGTCGGCGTCGGGGTCGGCGTCGCCTCTATCCACCCTGGGACCATGTAGTTCACTCCTGTTCCTGCGGCGGGCGGGCGGGGGGCTGAGGCTGAGACTTGGGCTGTCGCTGAGCGAGGCATCGTCCCTTTCATCTCGCCTGTAGCGGCTTTCCCTCTGCGCCATCGCGGGTGATCTTCGTAGTAACGTCCGGGTGAAATCGATGGTCAAGTCGCCAGCGGAATAAGAGGTGCCGGGAATTGACAGTCGGGTTGGACAGAAGACGCGGTGCGTGAGAAGAGAAGCGAGAAGGAAACTGGATGTAACGGCGTGGCGTGGCGTGTGGTGTGGCGTGTGGCGTCGTAGGTGAAGCAGCGGAGCGAAATCGTTGGGCGACCCAGTTCATGCTCTCATTTCAAGGCGAGACGCGACGCGAGTCCTTGTGCCATGCCGGATTTTTTGACGATGCGAGGAGATTCGTTGTATGCAGAGTGAGGTGTGAGAGATGTCACTTTTGCAGTTGGAAGAAGGTGGCGTCCTTTTCCTTTGTAGAGTTTAGGTAGGTTGGTGAGAGGTGAGAGGCGAGAGGTGAGTGGTGAGTAGGTGAGTAGGTGAGTATAATAAAGCAGCTCAGCTGTTGCGAGGACTCCGACTCCGTAAGCGTCTAATTACGACCTGATGAGGTCGAGGTGCTGATTGTGACCAATGGACTCGACCGGCTCCTCTGGACGAATCCTGTGCCCTGGCCCTGGTCCTGGTCCTTATTCGTCAAGGCCTCCGAGTCTGGTACAAGTACGTTGACAACGGATGATGTGCTCAGGAATATTGTACCGAGTAATTAACGCTCCCTTTTTGATTCCATTGTGTTTGGAAGAATTCCGGTTCATGCAGAGAGTCGAGTCTCCCAAGCAGATGCAGATGGGTCATCGGGGGGTCATATGGGGCTTCATATGGGGGTTCATATGGGGGGTCATCTGGTCTGACCCAATTAACCACCACCCCAGCCACCTTTTTATTTTCTTCAATTTCATTTTTGTTTTCCCCGCCGGCCCCCCCTTTTATTCCTTGCCCCCAAAGATCGAACATGTACATGACGCTACCTCACACCTCGTACGGTGCCAGCTCACCCACCCTCCGAACATGTAGAAGGGACTTGACTTCCCCGGTACCTCATGTTGATACGTCGATATATATTTCCGAAAACACACATCTGTTCCAAACATACACAAGTACAGTACACTTAATCCGCCCCCTTTCTGCCTCCATCTTGCCCCCCAAAGGACCCAGCGCAATTCTCCAATGGCTTCTGTGCTCGCCCACCACTCCCCTCGCCAAGCAGCTCAACACCACCATAGCCCATCATAAGACAACGAGAAGGGCGGAACGAGAAGAAGAAAAAGTAAGAGAAAAAGACAAACGTCAAGCGGGTAGTAGAAATAAAAGACGTTTAAGCCCGACGTCGGAAAATAAAATAAAACAATAAAAGAATAAACAAGCGGCTTCCCCGAAAACGCCTTTCCCACCAGGACCATCTCCCATTGCGTGAATGCAGCGCCGACAGCACCTCCTTTTTCCTTTTGCCCCTTTCTCATTCGTCATCGCTCTCTGCTCCATTACTCTCTCCGTTGGCCGCCCCCGCCCCCGCCGCCGCCTCCCTGGATGCCGCCGCCGCCGCGCTGCTCGACGAGATCAACTTAATACGCGTCGGTCCGCTCGCCGTGGTCTGTGGCGTGGCTGACCCCGTGCTAGGGCCGACCGATCCATCTTTCGCACCCGCGTCTGGTTCCAGTTCCCGCAGCTCTGGGTGTTTCTCCAATTCCTTCTCGAGTGCGGCGTGGAAGAAGTTCTACCCAATACCTGTTAGTCTGGTCTGTTCAAATGCAAGGGAAAAGGAAAAGAGGAAAGGACTCGAAAAAAACTCACCTGCAGCGTCTTTGAATCCTGATAAAGCAGCGACATCTCTTCATTGTACGTCTGGCAGTTGGTAAACATGAGGTCCACGTCCCGCCGTAGGTCGCCAAGACAGCTATATTTCTCCTTCTTGATCTTGCCGTCAATCTGCTTCATCGAGATGGGCGACTGGATAATCATGTAGTAGTCCGGGAACTCGCGCTTCGGCGGCAGCACCATAAACGGCCCGATGATGATGCGCTTGCCCGAGTCCGACTCGTCGTCGTCCTCCTCCGGCGCCGCCGGGTCCGGGTCGTCCACCTCGAGCGTCATCAGACCCTCGTACAGAGTCCGGAGGCTCGCCTGGAGCGTGGCCCTGCGTTGCGCCAGCGGCTTGTGGATGCCCCCTGCCGCCGCCGCCGCAGCAGCAGCAACCACCCCCTTGGGCCGCCCCAGGGGCCCGCGTCGCTTCTTGGCCGGCGGCTCGTCGTCGACCTCCTCCGCCTTGCGCTTCTCTTGGTTCTTGCTGCCCGGTTTCCGTCCACGCTTCTTTGGCGTTTCCACTTCCACTTCCTCCGTGCTGGCGCGGCTCGCCGACGGCGAGTTGTCCTTCGACGCCCCCGACGCCCCCGACGCCCCCAGTCTCTTGAGCCTGTTGGCCTCGCGCCTGTCCTTGCGCGCCTGCTTCCGCGCCGCCGCCGCCTCGGGCGAGTCCTCGTCGTCGTCCACCGCCATGAGCCACTGCTCTTCCGTGAGGCCGTCGTCGTACCGGACTTTGGTCCTCTCGCGCGCCCCGCGTCCGAGAACGAGCTCTTCTTGCTCATCCACCGGGTTGCCGTCCGTGAGATAGATATCCGGAAGCTCGTCTTCCGCCATGAGCCGCGGCTTGCCCTTCCTGCCCCCCTGGTCGCCGTAGACCGGGTCCTTCCTCCGTTCCTCGTCCATTTTCTGGAACAGAACCAGCTCGTCGTCGCTCCGCGCCAGCACCATGTTCAGCTCCTCGTCGTCCATCTCGTCCTGCTCGCCCGTCTCCGCGAGGTCGGCCGACTCGAGCAGCGTCCGAAGCATGGCATCACGATCCGTCTCCGTCGATTTGTTGTCGAACCGCCCGGCTTGAATGATCTTGCCGTCCATGTCAAGCTTGAACCGGGCCCGCTCCAGGATTTTCTCCTCCACCGAGTTGGAGCTGATCAGTCGGAGGATCCGCACCTCGTTCTTCTGCCCGATACGGTGCGCGCGGTCCTGCGCCTGCAAGTCTTGATGGGGGTTCCAGTCCGAGTCGTAAATGATCACCGTGTCCGCCGTCTGCAGGTTGAGACCGAGACCACCGGCGCGCGTCGACAGCAGGAACATGAAGTACTTGGAGTTCGGCGCGTTGAACTCCCGCAGCAGGTCCGACCGCTCATCCGACTTGGTCGTGCCGTCGAGCCGCAGGTATTCGAAGTGTCGGTATCGCAGGTAGTCCTCCATAATGTCCATGATGGCCGTCATCTGGAAGAACATGAGCACGCGATGGCCCGACGCCTTGTACTTGGGCAGGATCCGATCCAGAAGCTCGAACTTGCCGGCCGTGCGCCAGAGTTTGTCGTCGCTGATGCTCAGGGGATTCATCACGTTTTCCACCTCGTCGAACACGAACGGGTGGTTGCAGAGCTTGCGCAGCTGCATGATCATGTTGCTCAGCCCGCGGGCCCCGGTCTTCCCGCCTTGGCCGTCCGACACCACAATCTTATTATGCGTCACCATCTGCTTGTACAGTTTGGACTGCAGCGACGAGAACTTGCATTTGACCACCTTCTCCGTCTTGTCCGGGAGGTCTTTCTCGACATCTTTCTTCAAACGACGGAGCAGGAAGGGCCGGAGCACCTTATGCAGGCGCCTAATCACGAGAATCTGCTCTTCTTCCGTGAGGTCGATCTTGTCCTGACCACCCGTGTTGGCGAAGGGGGTGTTGAACCACTCGTCGAAGGTCTTGGCCGACTTGAAGATGTTCGGGAGGACGAAGTTGAGCATGGCCCACAGTTCCGACAGGTTGTTCTGTAGCGGGGTGCCCGTGAGAATGAGACGGAACCTGGTGCTGTAGTATTGCTGGATCGTCGACGTCAGCTTGGAGTTTTGGTTCTTCATCCGGTGACCTTCGTCGATAATCATGTGGAACCACTTGATCTTGCTGAGGACGGGCCTGTCCTTGATGATGTACTCGTACGTCGTCAGAAGCACCTGGAAGCGCCCTTGGCGAATCTTCTCCTGCTGCTGCTTCCGGGCGTTCGGCGGGCCTTTGTAGACCACCTTGGTCACCGACGGCGCCCACTTCTCGAACTCGAGATTCCAGTTGGTCAGCGTACTGAGCGGCACGATGACGAGATAGGGCCCGTCCTGGCGCTTGCGCTCGATGAGGTAGGTGATCAGACTGATGGTCTGGATAGTCTTGCCGAGACCCATCTCATCGGCCAGGATGCCGTTGAGGTTGTTGTTGTAAAGCGACAGCATCCACTGGAGACCCTTGACCTGGTATTCCTTGAGCGTACCACCCACAAGTATGTTAGCTTGTCCCGTGACTTCTTCCTTGATGCGATGAGCGACGGCGTAGTAGTCGATCTTCTTGCCGGCCTCCTCGCCCTCGCCCTCCGGCTCGCTCTCCTCCTCGGGCGGCAACTCCGCGTCGCCGTAGTGCTCGGCCGCGCGTCTCTGCTGCGATTTGACCGAGGCAGCCAGCTGGTGCAAGAAGCCGTCGGTCTGCCTCAGGAGGTGGGTGATACGGGTATCCTTCGCCTGGTCGAGTAGCTTGAGATACGCCTCTTCGTCGTTGGCCTTGAGGGCCTGCAGACGCTGCTTGGCCGTCCGCTCGATCCGCTTCTGCTCTTCCTTCTCAATGTTGAAATGCTGGGCGTACATGAGACGGCTGAGCTTGAGCGACTTGTTACGTTGGCTCATGGCCGTCTGTGCCATCTCACCCCTGCGCTGCGTAACGGCGTGGAGGAAGTCGTTGTGTCGCTTCTTGTCGCGGATCTCGCGAGCATCACGTTGCTGCTTCTCCAGCTTTTCGGTAATTCTCGCCTCGCGGACCGTCATCTTCTTCGCCCGACGGAAAGTGCTACGATTCGTCGTCGACGCAAGGTTGTCAAACTGGATCATCTGCTTCGCAAGCTTCTCGCGGAGGAGGCATTGCTTCTGGTACAGTCCAAGGGCCTTGAACTCGATAATGCTCCCAAGTCTTGCCGAGTCGTCGATTTCCATGGTAGGTTTCGTCACATCCCAGTGCGCTATGTTGGCCGGTAGTTTCCTCAGCTGGTCGTACCTTTCGCTCATTCTGTTCTTTATGATCAGTTCCCGCTCTCGCCGCAGCCGCTCAAGGTCGACTCCGACGGGGAGGACGCCCGGGATGAGCACGCGGTTCTCGCCCTTCATGTGTTGTACATAATGGATGGAGGGTTTGACCCCTCGCGGGTCGCCATATGGGGATTTGACGGAGCGAAAAACGGGATAGGGCTTTGAGGGCGTGGTATCATCAGCCTCGGAGGTGGACGGCGCCTGATCGATCGTCCTATCGGAACGACTACCGGGCTGGTCCGCAATCGTCGAAGAAGCAGCCATGGCCATGGCCGCAGCCTCAGCGGCGAGGGCCTTTCTCCGTTCCCGCTGAGAGAAGATGGCTTGCTGTATTTGGATAGGGACACCGGCATTCCGGCCCAGTAACTTGAAAGCCTGGATCTGCTGCCTCAGGAGCGACAACTGTTGTGGAGTGAACTGATTAGTGCCGGGGCCAGCGGTGGATGGTGAGCTTGCAGTGGCCGCATTGCTAGCGTTGTGGTTGGCGGGCATGACAGCAGAGGCGGGAGCAGTCGACGAGCCCGGTTGACTTGTCTGGACGGTGGGTTGCTGGGTGCCATTAACGACGCCGTTGGACCCTTTTAGTTGATGGGCTTGTGATGGCCCAAACTGTCCAGGTTGGCCCTGTCCCTGGGGGGCCTGTTGACCCTGCTGTTGCTGCAGCAGCAGTTGTTGTTGTTGTTGTTGTTGTTGTTGTTGTTGTTGCTGCTGAGCCTGAAGCCATGCTTGTTGTTTCTGGCGCAGAGCGGACTGCTGTTGAATGTTCATGAGAAACTGGGAGACCTTTATGTAATCCGGATCGGTATTAGGGACGCCACGCTCCTTCATCTGCCTCAGTTTCTACATCGTGGGACGTTAGTAACATGCCAAAAGAGACGTGGACTGCAGTGACGACAAGAGAACTGCGACGGAAAATGCGCCACCACATTGAAAAAGAGGCAGAATTGGAAAAGAAAAGAAGAAGAAAAAAAAACTAACCATGAGCATTTCCTGCACCTGCTGTTGCGTGGGACCAGCAGTCATGCCCCCGCCGCCAGAGTGCTGCTGGACGACAGGAGGAGCCTGGACGGAAGCCATCTTGATATGTTGTATGTTATGCCAATGGACCAAGCAAAGTAAGGCCAAAAGAGATTATGCCAACTATCTTCGGTGCATCTCAAGACGATAATTCTTTATCAACGTGTGGCGGTGGGAGGCCGAGCGCGAATCGACGTCAAGGCGTTCGCGGAAAGGGGATTCTGGGAATGCGCCGCGAATAGAAAAAAAGAAGAAAAAAAGGAGCGATCGAAAATAACGGCGGGAGTTGTCGGAGAATGGGGCGCGTCTTCCGTGATGTTATTTACGAGACACCGGCAAAATCGGGGGACCGTGGATGTCGGAAGGGGGGAACGGTGTCGGGGGGCCGGAGCCACGTCGTGGGACGGACCGGGGAAGGTCACGTCGTTTTGTCGCGTGCAACGGTCTAAGCCGGGGGCGGGTGGATGGAGTTGAGCGGCGCGCAGATGTTGCGATGGTCCCTCCCTCTCCTCTGGGCGCGGGCGGGGACAATGCCAGGCAGTTGGAAGACAAAAAATAAAATAAAAATAAAAGAGCAGTAAAAAAAACCGGTGTTGGAGGGTTGGCTGTAAGGTCGCGTCGTGCGGGGGGGTGGGGATTGCGACCTGTGTGAGGAAATCGCGTAGAAAGTGTTTCTGGACACTTTTTTTTGATGGGCGTCGATGGCGTACGGAGATTTCTGGCGATTTTCGATGCGCGTGGTCGCTGGATTGATGATGGGAGAGGTGAAGGCCACAACGGACAGGATTCAGTGTGATGGTTGGTGCGGTGCTACGAAACGCGATCCACTGTAAATTTCAGCACGTATCGGCTGACTAAGAAGGGAGCGCCTTCCCGGCTTGTTGTGATACGAGAGAGATTCTGCCTGAGGCAGGAAGAAAACCGGGTCATGTGAGTCTTTCATTGGCGAGAATCGAAATTCTACCGCCTTCCCAACCTAAAATACGGAGTTGATTGGCTAGTGACTCACCACGACCCGCATCCGGGCTGCACCAACTTGTCAGAGGTACGTAAGCCACCTCCTATTGATGTTGGAAGGGAGGTATGGAGTACCTAAGTATCCGTAGGTACCCGCAGGTCCGTAGGTGCTTCGTATACTAGGTACTTTCTAAGGTACCTATAGTATCCGTATTCGTAGAGGTAATATCTTAATTACAACGTACTTCGTACCGTCGTACTCGGATCATCTGCCGACTGTACGAGGTATCCCGCTGCTCGGTCCATTATATGGCCCCGAGTTTGCAACCATCACGTATCCGCAGAAAACCTCGCTGGATATACAGAATATAGGTAGGTACATATTTTTCACCGTCGATGTTATCCAGAGCGAATCAACCACGTAGCCCAGCAACAGCAAGACTTGCTCATCACCTCCTGACCTTCTTTTTATCCGGCCCTTCCTCCTCCTCGTCATCGCTTAGCTCCGCGTACTGCGTCACCGGCTGTGTGTCCTTCCATGCCTGCGTGAACATGGGGTCCTTCTTTGCAGCATCTGCGTATTTCAGCAACGCTTCCCTCGGATCCTCGTGCAGCATGCGTGCCAGGGGAATATTCTCCGCAATGTGTTTCTCGTCCGGCTGGTTCCTCATGAATGGCGTCTGCTGCAGGACCTCGGGTCTCCTGGGGTCTTTCGACTTCCCGGACGCCGTGACGCCGCCTCGCCGTCCTCCCATGCTTCCGGGTGTCACGATGGAATCGCCGGAAATCCCGATCGATTGATCCATCGTCAGTAAGGGGTTGTCATCGATGTGTCGTTTCTTAGGCGCCCTGGACATCACGTCCACGGCGCCGCGGTTCGACACGGTTGGGTTGTAGAGGACGTGCGTCTCGCCGTTGGCGGACCCCGTGATGATCTGGTTGATCTTGGGATGCCAGTCGACTGTAATTACCGGCGAACCTGGGGTGACGGGGGCGACAAGCTCGGGCTGTAGGTTCCCCGGGTTCAGGATGTGTAGGGCGCCCGTTGCCGAGCCCGTCAGTATGCTCGTCGCGTTAGGCGCGTACTTGATGTTCGACATGGCGTAGTGGGCCGATGTCGATTGGTGATTCACCGTGACAAGCGGTGTCTTGAATTTGCGCGTGTCCCAGAGCTTGATCGTGTCGTCACCGCCCCTCGTGACAACCATCCTGCCGTCCGAGGAGATGTCGATACCGCTCGTCCAGGTGTCCGCTTTGTGCGCATCGCGGATTTCGGCCGCGGGGCGCGAAAAGGGGCCGTTCCCACTGTACATTACAAGCGAGCCGTCCAAAGCTGCGGCAACGAGCACGTTGCTACCGCCTTGCAGGGGCGAACCCCAAGCAACAGATGTCATGCGCGTCCTCCCGGCCGATCCAGGCACCTTCGACTTGAAGACGATAACCTCCTTCTGGGAGCGCTTGTTGTTGATGTCCCAGATCCTCAGCGTGCTGTCGGTGCCCGCGGTGACGCACAAGTTCTTGTCGGTGGGATGCCACGTCCCCGAGGTGATCGCCGAGATGTGGCCCTTGGTGTTGTTCATATCGCGTAGGTACATATCGCCCTTGACAAACTCGGTCACAATGTCGCCGTCTCGAGACAGAATCTTGGCCTGCGGGTGCGCCGAGATGCAGAGAAATAGGCCGCCGGTGAGAGGGCTGAATTCGATTTTGTAGATGGGATGCGACTCGCTTTGTGTTGAGGACTTCTTACTCTGCCATGGGTCGACGGAACGGAACGCGCGCAATGTTGTGGGCGTCATAGCAGCAAAGTCGTGTAGGTTGACCTTTCCGTCGACTGACGCCGACGCCAGACGGCCGCCGGCTGGGTCGAGTGTGATCGTTGTGACGGCGCGTTCGTGGGTCTTGAGGACCAGCTCGTGGGAGACGGGAAACTCGTCGTCATCGTCCGACTCATCATCTGAATCGGAATCGTCGCTGCTTCCATCGCTTGTCTCCGAGTCTGATTTTGGGCCTTTCAAACTATCTGCTGACGGGCCACCGGCTTCGAGAGGCCCTCCGCCCTGGGCGCCGGCAGCCCTGTGGTGAGTATTTCTTTTGGTTCGGTCGATCTGCGCGGCGATGTTTGTTTCTTTCGACTTCTTCCCGAATGATGTCGGTAGGAAAGCTCGCATAGGGTCGTCTTCCGCCAGCTCGGGTTCCTCGACCACAATATCTTCGTCGTCGCTCATTGTCGCGGGCTGGACAGGACACAGGGGCAGTGATGGAAGGGGAACGCAGTCGAGAATTTGTCCGTCTCTGTTGTTGTAGCCAGGCAATTAATCGAAGTTAATGGTACTACGGACGAAATAGACCTCCATCCACAGGTGATGTCAACGCAGCACAGGCCACCCGAAATTGGAGACAGTGAACCTCTCGGTGTCTAATTGCCCGAACAGGCCGTAAGGGACCTTTGGTAATTACAGTACCTAGGTGGTCCTAGTGTAGATTTAGCAATATTTGCTTTACACTTATCAGGGGTAAGTAGTTAATTAGGAGCCATGAACTTTATAACTACAATAATTAATATAAGAACACCCGAACAGCTGTTTTACTTTTACTATCTTTACCTGTTTTAGCTGGTGGAATTATAATGTTATTAACAGATAGAAATTTTAATACATTATTCTTCGAAGCAGCAGGTGGAGGTGATCCTATTTTATTCCAACATTTATTCTGATTCTTTGGACATCCTGAAGTTTATATCTTAACTATACCAGGATTTGGTATAATAAGTACAACTATTTCAGCTAATTCTAAAAAACCAGTATTTGGATATATTAGTATGGTATATGCTATGATGTCTATTGGTATATTAGGATTTATTATTTGAAGTCATTATATGTATATAGTAGGATTAGACGTTGACATAAGAGCTTATTTCATAGCGGCTACTCTAATAATTGCTGTACCTACAGGAATTAAAATATTCTCTTAATTAGCTATATATTACGGAGGATTAATTAAATTAACACCTTCTATGTTATTTGCTTTAGGATTTATATTTATGTTTACTATAGGAGGATTAAGTGGTATTGTTTTAGCTAACGCTACACTTAATATAGCATTCCACGATACTTATTACGTTATAGCTCACTTCCATTATATTTTAAGTATAGGTGCTGTATTTACTATATTTAGCGCTTAATATTTCTGAGTACCGAAAATATTAGGTTTAAATTATAATATGGTATTAACAAAAGTATAATTCTGAATTTTATTCATAGGAGTTAATGTTACTTTCTTCCCTTAACATTTCTTAGGGTTATAAAGAATACCTAGAAGAATAGGTGACTATCCTGATACTTATGCAGAATAAAATTTAATAAGTAGTATTAGATCTATTATTAGCGTTATAGCTACTTGACTATTCCTATATATTATATATATATAGTTAGTTAAAGCTAAACCTATAAGTAGAAATCCTTAAAAATCTGTAGAATTCTATACTAATACTTTATAAGCCTTATTAAATAGAAGTGCACTAAGTTTAGAATAAGTATTATCTAGCCCTCCTAAACCTCATGCCTTTATTAGTCTTCCTTTACAAAGTAATATATATTAAAATATAATTATTTAACATAAACATTTTTATTAAATAATTTGTACTAAAAATTTAACGATGCTTCTATTTTATAATAAAAGAACCCAAATAAATCATTAATATTAGAATATAAAAAAATTACATTAATCACAAAATAACCTAGAATATTTAATAAAGTAAAATAATATAAATAATAAACATTATAAACCGATATCTTTATCAGCTAGGCTGTAATATAAAAAATAATCTTCTAATCTATTATTTATATCATTAAATAATAATTTAAATTCAGGATCAGAAGTTAAAGCAAGCCTATATAAATTTATTCTTATATATTATAATAGTTTATTTGCAATAAATATAGATAAGTAATAAAAAGTTTTTATAAAATATTTAATAATATTATATTAAATTAACTTTTTTAAGAATTTATAAAAATGTAATAGATATAGAAAATATATTTATATAAATATAAAGTATATAAAGAGACTATTATAGATGCCTAAGCTATATATTAACGAGTATAATTTATTTACCCTTATTTATTAATTAAAAATATATAACTTTTAGTTTATTAATTTAAATCTTTACTATAGTATTTTTAATAAAATATAAGATTAGAAATATACACTCTAAGAGAAATTAGATAGTTAACGAAGTGAATTAAAATATCTTAGTAACTTCAAGAAAAGAAATCAAAAGAGATTCTATTATTAACGTGAGCTAAAATAGAGTAGTCTATCTAATAAGTAAAACGGTCGAGAAACTATTTAAATTTAATGGGGAACCTTCCTCAAAGACTAAATATAATATATAAGCGATAGTGAAGAGTATTATAAGAGGACGGTTAGAAATGGTAGTTTTATAAGCAGTTTAAGCGAAAGCAAGAACGTACCTTTTATATAATGGGTTACTAAGTTAATATTAGATACGAGTATAAACATAGGTAAACTAATCGTTAAAATAACGAAAAGTATCTAAAGTTAGACCCGAAGCCTGGTAATTTTACTATAATTAGGATTATAAAGGTCCGAACGGGTTATCGTTATAAAGATATCCGAAGAATTATAGTAGGTAGTGAAAGATAATACTAACCAGGATAGCTAGTTTTCTGCGAAAGCTATAATAGTAGGTAATTTAAATAATATCTTAGTAAGTATAGAACTTAATCTTAGTTAAGATATACTAAATTTATAAAATTTACATTTTTAATTTATATATATCGGGGAATCGTGAAGATTTTATCGATAAGTATATAGACTCGGAATAGTAAAGATGAATTTTGAATTATCGGATATAGAATAATAAGGTTATATATCAAAAGGGAAACAGTCCAGAACAAGAGTTAAGGTTCTAAAACTATTAGTTAAGTGAAATTAAGAAGGTTTATATTAAAGTCGATAAGGAGATAGGCTTAGAAGCAGCCATAATTTAAAGATCTCGTAACAGAGCGCTTATTAAGTTTTAAAAGCATCGAAAATTTAACGGATCTAAATAATATACCGAAACCTTATCTATATATTTCTTTTTTTTTATCAAAATATATAGGGTAGCAGAACGTTAAATTAAATTAAGATATACTTATAATATATATATAATAAATAATTCAAGTGACAATAGTGATATAAGTAACGAATAAGAAGGAGGTAGCTAAAATTAGTACCGATATATTGGTTATTGTTTACCTACCTCCGCCTAAAGCTTATCGAAATTAAGTAACGGCCTCTAAGTTAAAAACCTAAAGGTTTTAACGATAAGAAAATTTTTTTTTACTGAAAAACAATATTTTTAAGTGAAAAATATACTAGAAAAATAGTAAAAATATATATTATTATAGTTCGATAATAGTATAATATATAACCGTATCTAGAGACTAATATAAGTAAGCTAGTAGAGAATACGAAGACGTTAATAAGCTAATAATCATAAAGGAACTCGGTAAAATAACTACCGTAACTTCGGGAGAAGGAGTGCTTATTAGTCCTAATTAATATCGGGTAAAAAAGAAGAAGCATAAAATCGTATTATACGACTATTTAATTAAAATAAAGCACTTTGCTAAAAGATAATAAATCTAAGTATTAGGTATGATATCTGCCCGATCCCGGCAGGTTAATAGATATAACTAAGTTAGGAATAATTTAGTATTAACGGAACCCCCGGTTAATAGCGGCCTTAACGTAAGGGTCTAAAGGTAGCGAAATACCTTAGCCGTTAAATACGGTCTTATATAAATAATATAACGATATAATAGCTATCTTTATAATTAACTTAGTGAAATTATAATAACTATGCAGATATAGTTTACCTTTAATTAGATAAGAAGACCCTATATAGCTTTACTATTACTAATTATAGGATATAATAGATAAATATAAGTTTATAAGGTATATTAATTAAATAAAAATAAGAATCCTTTATTTAGACATTATATTTCAGAATCAGGCCTTAAATTTGAAATTTAAGGATTAACCTAATCTGGCTTATATTTATAGAAATATAAATATAAGTATAACCTTAGGAAAGGAATATATCGCTAGGAGATAGTTTATATAGGGCATAGGCCCCTTAAAGAGTAAAAGGGAGTGTCTATTTATTATAAGTTATAAAAATATATAATATTCGTTATTTATAGTTTTATAACGTTATTTATAGTTTTATATAGTTTAAGTGTTTATACACTTTCTATATTTAATCCACTATAGGTATCTATAAGAGTATTATATACGTATAGATAAAGATAAGAACTTTATAAAGGTACGATTTTACCTATAAGGAAAATAGGAGTAGATAAGAAAATATTATAAGTATTCTAATATTTTTATTAGTTATTCTTAAAGAATGATTATATTTAATACTTAAAAAGCTCAACGGCTAAATCGTGTCTTACTATTGAATTAACAACAAGTCTTATAGTTATGTAAGCAGGGCACAGAATCATAAGATGCAAAAAGGAAAGATCTTGGATTATTAGAAAAGCTACGCTAGGGATGTTTGTCCTTTAATAGTTACAATTATTGATAATTTA